ACCTAACACTCCTGAGGTTCATGAAGAAACATCTGATACAGAGGAGACATTCTTTGCTGGAATAGCAAGTACCGGTCCATCTAACACAGACCTTCCAAGGACACTAAAGGAAGCCTTATCACGTCCGGATAGAGAATTATGGAAGTCTGCCTTGGAGGAGGAACTCCTAAGTCTCAATACTAATGCAGTATATGACACTGTTCCACTTCCGAAGGGGGTGAAACCCATCACATCAAAACCTGTGTTCCGGATCAAGTTTGATCAAAACGGAAACATTGAGAGATACAAACTCCGGATTGTTGCACGAGGTTTTACTCAAAGGGAGGGGATTGATTACCAGGAGGTTTTTGCTCCAGTTGCAAACTTAGAGTCAATCCAAATTATTCTAGCCCTGGCAGCAAAGTACAACCTAGAACTTGATCAAATGGACGTATCCACAGCTTATCTCAATGGAGAACTTGAAGAAGAACTGTACATGCTTCCTCCAGGGGGTGTTCCTATCCAACCTGGATACTGCTGGAGATTGAAGAAATCCATCTACGGGTTAAAACAAGCTGGTCGTACATGGAACAAAACTTTTGATCGCAAGCTCCAGGAGCTCGGTTTCACAAGACTAAATGCAGAAACATGTCTCTATGTATTCCGGGACAACAAACAAATATGCTTTGTTGTTGTCTATGTAGATGACCTTCTCCTAGGAGCTTCATCCCGAAAGTTCATGGATATCACAAAAGCCAAACTCGAATCCATATTCAAAATGCGGGACCTTGGAAAAGCAAAATACATCCTCGGAATAGAAATCCAACGTGATCGTTCAAACAAAACAATATCTCTATTGCAACGCCAATACATTGACACAGTCCTGGAGCGTACTGGAATGAAAAACTGCAAACCAGTATGGACACCAATGGCCCATGGATCAAAACTCCTCGCAAACGCTCCGGGGGAAGATATTGTGCAACACAAGATGCATATTGAAGGGCGTCAAGTGTCATACCTCTCAATTGTAGGCTCCCTCATGTATGCTATGCTCGGAACCCGCCCAGACATTGCCTACGTTGTTGGAATACTAAGCAGGCATAGCTCAGCTCCAAGGAGCCATCACTGGGAAGCTGCAAAATGTGTCCTCCAATATCTGAAAGCAACCAGGGACATGGAACTACAATATGATGGCACAGATGTCTCCATGGACATGGATTTCTATGGATATTCGGATGCAGATTGGTCTGGAGACCCAGACACGTCTCGATCAACATCAGGGTTTGTCTTTATCACCATTCGAGGAGCAATCTCCTGGACAAGCAAAAGACAAAGCATGGTCGCTTTATCCTCCACGGAGTCAGAGTACATTGGATTGAGCAATGCTGGACAACACCTTGCATGGCTTCGGACATTTTTTGAAGAAATTGGACATGCTCAAAATGGACCTACAACATTGCACTGTGACAATCAAGCAGCTATCATTCTTACACGAGATCCGCAGTTCCATGCTCGCACAAAACATATTCAACGCAAATATCATTTCATCCGAGATGACTTAGTATCAAGGGGAGAGGCAGTAATCAGATACGTTCCTACAGGAGATATGGTTGCAGACATTCTCACTAAACCCCTCACTCACGAAAAACACTGGAAATTCTCTAAAGCTATGGGACTACGGTTGCACTCGAGTGGGAGTGACAAAACCGGATAAACCCGGTCTCTGCCGAAGCAGCCATTGTTCTCCATGGAGCATAGCCACCACTCCATGGAGTAACCATTGTTCTCCTAGGAGCACAATTGTACTCCTAGGAGTCATTATACTGTAGCGAGTAGCACCTCCGACTATAAGTAGTAGGGGGTTTAGTATAGGAATACCTCAGTCGTTCCTATAGCCTCTCAGGCAGCGGCTGAGGTATGTTACATTACATTTATTAGAGATCACCTTAAACTAACATCTATTGTAGTTTCACTTAGGTAAATAATAAAGTTGTTTCTATAGCCTCTCGGGCAGCGGCTGAGTTTCACTTAGTTTTATTATTGCGTCTCAGTGTCGGTCCATATGGCATTACTATTGCCACTGCTATCTTGAGGGCCGGCACTACTATCTTCTTCTACGTCCATTACGTCGCCAGATGCTCCTTGGTCAGGCTGGACATTGGGGTTCATCCTAGTGGACCGTAGTCGTTTTGCAGGAGGGATTGGGGCTAGGGTTGGCCCAGAGACCCGTCGTTTCTTTGCTCTGGACATGAGGTTGTTGATGGAAGTATGGTGTCAGCCTGTAGGGTGAAATGCCTATTCGTCTCTCCGACGGCATTCTGGCAGATTGTGGCTGGAAAAAGAAAAAAACAAAATTCAGGAAAAACACAGTTCCCGTACGAGCCCTAAGTCTTTCTATATACCAAATAATTATTTTCTGAGAACCGGTAATTCTAGGTTCGCTTTTCTTTGTCATCTCAAGCAGTCTTTTCTCGCACAGATACTACTACTGCCTCCGGAGGCTTTTTTAACAGTATTCTCGACTTGCTTGAAGATGCTGAGGAACTTGAAGATGTAAATGCACTTTTGGATTGGTGGAATCGGTAAAAACTTAAATTCTCAATTAAATTTGGAACTTCCGCTAACTAGTGTATTTTCCCCGAAAAACTTTCCCTTCTAATTCATCTACCGCGCGAACCCCTAGCAAAAACAGTGCTCTTGCAAAAATTCGGGAGAGACGTGCTGCTATGAGAAACCGAGGACTGCAATCAGGTCCGAGTCAGAATTTTTGATTTTGTTAGTTTAGTGCTACAGTGTAGTACAATGTACTGTTTCCAGTTCATTTTTTGCAGCAATGACAACACTTCTGTCAAATAATGATGTTTAGAAAGACAAATATATAATATTATCACCAGCATTGTGGTATAACTTTAAGCAACCAGCCGACAATAGATAATACATTATAATGACAGCAAGGCAGGTAAAAATTCGTCATTGTGATTTTCCATGATCTACCAGTGACAGAATGATATGTCAAATATTTAATCATATATATTTCAAAGCCATAAGTCCGATCACTTTTGATACGACACTGAAAATATGAACTCTATCATATCTTAGAATATATACCAACATTATGATACTTGTAGTTGGTCTTCTCTTAGCAAAACTTATGCAGGTTGTAGTCGGTATCAGCTCCAGCTAGCCATATAAGTGCCTATGTCAATTATAGAACTTGTGAAGTGTATGGCCGCTCCCCATCAGACATTTTGTATAAGACTTATACATTAAATAAAAATACTGATTTCAAACTAGCCATGTATAGCCTGACACGAGGGTAAATCTGGCTGATTATTCTGATAGTAATTATATATTTTGTATGACCTTATAAGCTTTGATCCAACTCTTCACATTTTCCTGATGTGCGTCATTCCACTGACCAAATCTCAAACCTTGGCTAATTCGAGTACGCACAATGCTGCATTTGAAGGTATTATCAAATATTTAGTGGGAAGCCGTGGTGTATGGAGCAGTCGGAACTTCTAACACATTCCTCGGAGCCTTGAGCACCTTGGACATTCTGCTTTGTTGGATTGCGTCTAAGCGAGCGATGAGATCCGCCGCTGGGTTCTCCTGATGCATGCAAGAAGCTGCGCAGGTTTGGTGTTCACGTTACACCGAGGTTTCCGAGTTGATGACGTCGAATGGGCCATTGCAATGCATATCCGAAGATTGGGCTGAGTAACATCGATACAAGTAGATATGTGTACCTTTGCGGTTGCGCTTGAATAAACAGCCTATGCACGAATATGTATCAATTAATTCTGTCTGAACAGGAAAGGGTACACGGTGTTGGTGTGATTCCATTGAAGTGACGTGCAGTCACATCTGATAGATAGGGGCTTTCGATTTCTGTCGCGGTTCAGTTCCAGATTGGCCTCCACGTCTGTTCCTAGTCAACAACGCTTGCACAATAACCAAATATTGCTTGTATTTGAAAATTAGCAACGAATGGAGATTTGTGAAGCCGACCAAGCAAATACCAAGGGCGTCATTGGAATGGAACAACTTGAGGATTCTCCGTGATAATGGTGATGGGGAAGCACGTATTCACATTCAGTATCCCTAGAAATACTGAATGTGAATACAAGGCCTCGACCTGGCGGGAACGAACGAAAGCGAGCGCGGGAGCTTTGCTCACTTGGGACTAGCATTCAGGGTCACCGCAAGTTATACGTAATTTAGCCATCTTCCGAAAAACTAAGCGGCCATGACAGCCAAAGCTATGCTTGAGCAAGGCGAAAGTCCCGGATCTTCAAATCACATTTTTCTGAGTCTTCCACGTGGAATTATCTTGGTCCGCTTGCAATCGTTGATAGTAGGGAACCGGCACAATCTCCGAGTCAACGCTTATGCTTCAAGTTACCACAGAATCATGAGTAAATGAAGTTGGCTTTTAACCGAGATGTGGCGGTGAGCTTCATTCTACAGCATCTTGGTGGAATCTCAACAGCTTATTTGATAAATGCTTATCCTTTTTGAACAAATCAAGGACTACTGTATCGCCATTATCTTGTGAGCGGTGTCTTCGAACGTACTTGATTAGGTTAAACCCATCAGTCACGGTACTTGAACACCACGCAAGGCCGCGTTTTCTTTCAAGAACGAAGAGAAACATTATCTTCATGGGTACAACTTACTCACGGCTTTACTCATGAGCCAGTAGATTCGCGATGTACCGCACCGTCCCACACTGTAATCTAGGTCATATGTCTCCCAAAACAAGTAAATACGTGGGTTTTTTCGGCAGTGACTCGTTTAGACCGCCAGATAGTTCTACCATGAATGACTATATCTCTCCTTTGGAAGATGACGATTGGGAGCTCTTGTATACCAGATGGCACCTGGACTTATTCGTGGCTTCAGCAGCGTCTTCTCAACACTCAAGTCGACGAAAACCACCAGAGGTGGCGTGAACGGGAAAAATGGCGTTGTGAATGGGACAGAGGCAGAGGAACAACAGAAGGGGGCAGATTCAGTGGACAAGACCATACCGTATGCTTTAGGCGACTTTGCAATAGATGAAGAAAGACCTATGAAGGTCGTTGTCATAGGTGCTGGTTTCAGTGGCATCACTGCTGGAATACGGTGTGTTACCCAGGAAATGCTTGTTCTAGAGAATACTTATTCGGTTGGCAGGTTTCCTCAGCGCATCAAGAATATAGACATTACGATCTACGACAAAAATGCTGGTGTTGGCGGAACCTGGTACTCCAACAGGTATCCGGTAAAGTACTTCCATCTGATCGAATTGACCTCTACTGATGGATCGACGTTCATGGCGGTGTCTATAGGGACTGTCATGTGATATACCGTCGCATTGTGTAAGTAATGCCCTGTTTATGTGTAACGAAATCTGACTATAAGCTTTGAAGTATCAACTTACTTTCGAAGAGAATGTTGGTACCTTTATCTCGGGGCATGTCACAGGCATCTAAATTATATTTTAGACGGAATGGTCTTCCTTCTATGCTCCAGGTCCAGAGATCCGCGCTCACTTACAGCGCATCACTGACAAGTACCAGCTCATGCGATACATCAAACTTCAGCACGAACTAATACACGCACGATATGACGAAAAGGAAGGGAAGTGGCACCTCAAGCTTCGTCGTCCTGCAGCGGATTCCACTGCTGAGCACCCCCGCATGGAGGAGATAGAGGATGTTGCGGACTTTGTGTTGTGTGGTGCTGGTGGATTAAGCAGGTGGTCTTGGCCAAATATCGAGGGTCTACACGACTTCAAGGGACGGTTGATGCACTCAGCCGGATGGGACACTGACGATTGGAAGGAAGGTGTGAAGGACTGGAAAGATAAGAAGGTTGGGATCGTGGGTGTGGTAAGTCAAATGTGCCCTGGCTCAGTTTAGAGCACAATATGACTGGATGCAATTTAGGGTTCCTCAGCCATACAGATGGTTCCTGCTCTCCAGCCATATGTCGGCCATCTCTATAACTTTGTTCGTGGCAAGACGTGGCTGGCCACACCATTCTTTTCAGAGAAACTATCTGAAATGATGAAGCGCGACCCGGAGGCTGCAAACTGTGAGTGCTTCGTAGCCCGTCTACACTATCTGCGACTCATTTATCCCTACAGATAGTTTTAGCGACGAGGACAGGCAAGTGTTCAAGGATCCCACATTTTACAAGCAGTTCAGGCATGAATTGGAAGAAGAGCTAAACGTGCGTTTTTCTTTCTTACGCGTGGTAATTTCTCTTCTCACAATCAGCAGTCAATTCATTCCTCCACCATGCAAGGCAGTGAGGAGGAGGCTCAGGCTCGCAAGGCATTCAAGGAAAATATGCTTAAGCGCCTTGAAAAGAAACCGTGGATAGCTGACTATAGTACGCGCTAATGTTCACCCCTTGAAGGGCTAATGATCGAGTTTTAAATCAGTTATGCCCGAATTCCCGGTGGCGTGTAGGAGGTTGACTCCTGGTCCCGGATATCTCGAGGCACTCACTGAAGATAATGTTAGTCCTCCTTGATGCGCGCCGTATTACTAATTTCAATCAACGACGTGTAGGTGGACTTTGTTCCCAAGGACATCAAACGGGTCACTCCAACTGGCTTGGAAACATCCGATGGTCAACATTATGACCTTAACATCCTTATCTGCGCTACAGGTGAGCTTCTGTGACAGCCACATCCATCCCCCAAAGGTTTCTGATTCTGGTGGTGCGTACCTGGCAGGTTACGACACTGATTTCCGTTATCCTTTCCCTGTCATCGGGAGAGGAGGAAGAACATTACAAGAACGATATGATCCACACCCAGAAACATACCTCTCCATTTGCACCGATGGTTTTCCGAACTGGTTTAGTAGTCTTGGGCCAAATTCAGGCGTTGGATCGGGCTCATTGCTCGTACTCATCGAGCGTGAAATCGAATATGCTGCTGCTGCCGTTTTGAAGATGCAGCGCGAAAGGCTGAAGAGTATCGAGGTAAAGAAGGAGGCTGTCGCTGATTTTGATCAGTACCTTGAGCACTACTTCCCGAAGGTAAGCTGTTTGACTCGTAGACGTTGCAGTGAGACTTAGATGTTTGTAGACCGTCTACAGTGCGAAGTGTCGCTCATGGTACAAAGCTGGAAAGGAGGAGGGTCGCGTCGTTGGTGTCTGGCCAGGATCGTGTTTACATGCTGCGCGTGCCTTCGAACGTCCTCGCTGGGAAGACTACAACTATGAATATCTCGGTGATATCAAGAATCGCTTCCACTGGCTTGGAAACGGGTATACCTACAACGAGAAACATATGGTGGGCGACAGTGAGTATTTGGCAGTACATTTGTTATAATTACATTGCACTTATATGACGGTTTGTATAGGGGCGTGGTATCTCAGTGATGAGGAAGTTGATTTCCCTCCAGGTGCGTTGTGTTTATATTTTTCGCCGTTGTGTTCGTTAAATAGTTTTTTCCCTATTTAGTACCAGCAACTTGAACAACGCCGGGAAAATTCTGTTCAACTTTATTATGTTTCATTATGACTGACGAATGTATTATATACTACGCTTTGATTTCATGATACCACTCTTCTGTAGAGTTAGCATACGGTTACTTGGCACCAAACTGTCGGAATTCATCTTCCACTATGCTGTGATTTGTGAACAAAAACTTGTTTACATTGACTGAGCAGGGGTACATGAGTATATATAACTTGATTGAACATGACATATGAGCAGGGAGATTAACAATGAGCGACTAGTCACTCCAAAAGAAAGAGGCTGAAATATATTGCGGGACACTAGATTTATCTTCACTGTCAAGTTAAAATTTGGCCATGAGAGCTAAACGAGCTCAGCAAGCTTGAGGAAAGCTTACCCGTCTTAGATTTGACAAAGTTGTGAGTTCTGAATGGGCCTCGGCAGTTTCGCGGCTACAGCGTCCAACCGGAAAGATTCCCCAAACGATATGGCTTCTTGCTCCAGGTCACTGATGCTAGCACATTTAAGTAACCTCGCATCCTTGAGGCGCTGAAGGGCAGCCAAAGTCCAAAGTCTGCAGGTAATACCACCGGCGTTGATCTTGTGGTCTTCGCTCGTTACGATGGCCTCGAAGAGAGGCCTATGCTCGGTGGGTATGGTAGCGACAGCGAGTAAACCAACGAGCACAAATGACATTAAGACCCCATTGGTAGGGGCATGATCGGTCATCCATCCTGTCCCTATGCTTTTGATATGGTAGTTGTATCCAGCAGGTTTCCCGCCAGAAAGATTTTGAATATGAAGGTATACTCCCCAGTGAAATTTGCGGGGCTCTTGACCAAAGCCCGTGAGGAACATAATGATGTAAAGGGCGTTGGGAATTAAAGGGCACATTGCAGGCCTAGTTGACGGTCATCGGAAACCATCAGCGAAAAGATGGTGTTCACAGGAGTCCGAACGAGGAGTGAACGCACGTTCCAAGGGTCTGATGGCTCTTTCATTGGAGATTTACTTGCAGGTGCTGAGAAAGAAGAAAAACCGCACAAGATGAATGCTATCTGAAGGAGTAACACATGTGGGCGTGCGTTGACATTTGCGATTATGGGGACAAGGGCTTCAGCCGTGCCAGGGTATGGCTATTTTGGTTACGAAGGCTGAACGAAATACTTGCACAAGCAGTAAAGTTGAGTAGTTGTAGTTTTTACTTGCAGTGTCACGTCAATACTAGACCCATGGAGAAAGCGATGAATGCGGCAGGATAACAGGGGTTGATAGAACGGAAATTGTGAAAGAATCAGCAAATTCAATTGATCGTAAAAAGGTAGAAGAACTGGGAAACCATATCAAACACACGTTCAGATCGTTCGGAATGTGTGGAGAACCAATGCTCACATCTTTTCCAATATTCCAGTGCGGAAGGCTGCGGCGCAGGTTATTCGCTTTACTCGCCAATAGATATGGTGTTGACCTTACGAGACGCCTCCAATGGTTCATGTCCATCATTGCCGCCACGGTATGTCTGAGACCACAGGTAATGAAGCACAACGCCACCTTGGTAAATTTGGGATACACCTATCTGTAATTCCATTGGTTTTCTTGTAAGCGGCTCAACGTTTTCGATACAACACCGCTATTTTCAGAGGGCTCAGTTTCCTATAAATAAATACAATGTTGACCAGTGTCCAGATCGTAGCTTTAGTTCCTGTATTCCTGCCAATAGTCGATGTACCAAAACATTGAAATACGCCATGAGAATAAGAATGACCTGAACACTAGTAAAAGCCAGCTTCGAACGCTATTTCCGCGAGTTACCAACTCAAGTTCAAGCGCGAGTTAAAGGCTTCAGTTTATCAAAGGTAGTGTTCACGGCATACAGCCACGGTCCGGCTTGAGCGGCACGCCTTCAGGTTTTAAGCCACTCAAGTTCCCGTCAGTCTTATTTACGAGTACTGAAAAGTACTATTTGCATCAAAATTCGCATTCGCATGTATATGTTGAGTATCTAGGATAAACGTAACTGGTAAGAGATGATCGATAACTCAAAACCCAGCAATAGCGTCTGCGCTAAGCTCCCACAAGGCAATCTCACACTGAAACTCCTCCGCGTACTTATCGTCTGTGATGAACTTCAGGGTCTTTGGCCAAAAAGAATCTGGGCTTTGCCACCGTTGAGGCGTGGTGATTTCCCAGTACTCTGGATACCACCCTGCCGTCTCCCAATCGATTATTGCTGTGATATGGCCATCCTTAACGAGGATATTGTGGGACCACAAGTCGCCGTGAGTAAATACGATCTGATGAGGCATGTTATCCATCAAGTGAGCACGACGTTGCGCCTCCTTAAAAGGTATACAGCCATGATAGCCCTCGTCTGTGGGGCGACAGCAATAGTGTAGAAAAGTGTTGAATGCAGCTTCATCGTCACAAGGGACAAATATTCGCGGACAAGTACGTGTGCTGTACAAGGAACCTCCAATGACAGAGCACACTGTAGTTCCCCAGGGGTTTGAATAGCTTCGCATGATTCCAAGATAGTGCTTCAATTCGGCAGCTACAGTTTCTTTCTCCTCGGGTGTCATGCCTTCGTGGACTTCGTCGAGCATTTCTCCAGGCATGGCTTCCATGAGAATCGATCCTATGACTCTACCATTCTCATGGTGTTCGCCGTACGAGTAGACTTTGTGTACTGGTAGGCCTAAAGCACGGGCCATCTGCATCGCGACTGCCTCGTTTTCTCTGGTGCGTTCAGTCGATTTGATATACAAGTTATCGGGGAGCACCCCCTCCTCCTCTTTATCTAACAGCAACTTGTGGTAGGCGCCTGCTGCCGTTTTCTCACTGTCACTCAGCAGAGTGGGTAGAGCTGGAAAGTCGAGCAAGGGCATTATGTTTGCGATGATGTCTGATGCACCAAGGAAGACTGCAAATGAGTCGAGCGTCCGATCACTTACTGTTTTGACTGACCTTCGGAACTGTATTGAAGGGGTTATATTTCTACAAAAGAACAGTAGCATGCGAGCTCACCTATAGCTATTTGCTACGGTTAGATGCAAGTTAGATGTGGCGTTGATAGTGGTTTGAGAGTGTAGGGGGGAACCGCTGTCTTACCAGATTTATAGTGCATGCTCTGTGGCGGAGTTCAAGTTGTGTGGGTCCTTGTTCATAGGTCGTAGGTCAGTTGATTGTATTTTGCATCACTCACTTATGACCACGGATGTTGAACAGAACCTTAGTGTTAGATGGGGATTTGGACAGGTTTCCATGCATAGTTGTTGAGAAAAGCTATTCTGCGCTGGAAAAGTGCCCAATCAATTTGCAGAGAAAACTAACCACATACCACACAAATCTATTGCTTTTTTACTGCGTGAATTCCACAGTGAAGAATGCTGTGAGAATCACAGTGAGATTACACATGAGGGCAAGATGATTGAGGGCATGAACGGCCTTTGCCATCGTTTGCACCGATACACCGTCAAACAAATCCACAGTGGCGTCAGCTTACCTCCACTTTCCAAAGAGTAAAAATCTGGTCTTTCCCCTGTAATTGCTGCAACATACGTTGACATTGACCAGAATGGCGGCCAACAAATCAAACAAGCTTGCTTTTTTGTCGATGCCAGCGCCAGCATCTTATGTTGCTGGTTTAGGTCGAGGGTAAGCACCAACAGTATCCTCATGTTCATTCATAATTTTCATAAATTCGTATACCAGTGCTTCAGGTTTCACCACACGTTCGGATATCGGTCCTGCAAGAGAAGGACCCTCTGCAGAAGTGGTTGCGTATGTGTCATATCCTTAGTTCTTACACTCGTGTTAATTATCCACCTAGTGAGGCTCAGGCCAAGCGGGGTGAAGAACCCGACATAGATCCTGAGCAATTCCAAGATCCAGATAACGAATACGGCCTTTTTGCTGGGACGACATACGAGCAAGACGATGAGGAAGCTGACCGGATATATGAATCAGTTGACCAGAATATGGATGGACGCAGGAGAGTTCGTAGGTGTGTGGTTTTCGGTTAGTTGTAGCCGTCTTTTTCCATTCACTATCTACTTCTACCGCATTAATAGGGAGGCACGCGAAGACACTGAGCTAGCGAAACATCGTGCAGAGCGTCCCAAGATACAGCAACAGTTTGCGGATCTTAAGCGTGGCTTGTCGGTTGTAACTGACGAAGAGTGGGAGAGCATTCCGGAAGTAGGTAATTTGACTCGGAAGAAGCGAAGAAAAGATGAAAGAACATTTGTTGTCCCGGACAGTGTTATAGTTGGTGACAGAGGTAAAACGGAGTACGAGAACTCGCTGGACACAAGACAGCAGGTCTGTTTTTGACAGCTCTTTCTTTGAATGTTATGCTAATAGCAGCTTTAGGCAGCAGGGTTCGAAACGCCGGCAGATTCAGGTACACTCACAAACTTCGTTGAGATTGGCCAAGCTCGTGACAAGATACTGTCGCTTAAGCTCGATCAGGTACTTCATCCTAGCTATGCACGGTATCCAGTTTAACAATAATTTCCCAGATATCTGGTACCTCTACTACATCTGGATCTGCGACCTCCGTGGATCCTAAAGGCTACCTTACCTCGCTCAACAGCGTTGTTCTCAAGACTGAAGCTGAAATCGGGGATATAAAACGTGCGCGTATGCTTTTTGATTCTCTTGTAAAATCGAATCCGAAGCACTCTCCTGGATGGATTGCTGCTGCTTGTTTGGAGGAGCATGCAGGACGCATGGTTGCCGCGAGGAAGCTCATCAAGGCTGGGTGTGAACAGTGCCCTAAAAGCGAAGATGTATGGTTAGAAGCGGCGAGGCTACACGTATGTACCTCACTTCCATCTGAAAGGGAACATACTCACAGCAATTTCTCTTCACAGAACAACGATGATGCAAAGGTTATCTTGGCAAATGCTGTACAGCATGTAGGTCAAAGCGTTAAGATATGGTTAGCTGCAGCCGATTTAGAGCAAGACGTAAAGTCCAAGAAACGTGTGCTGAGAAAAGGTGAGTAGCCTCGGACACTCGTATTAGAACCATCTAATGAAACCCTTCTTCTGATAGCCCTGGAACACATTCCTAATTCCGTCCGACTATGGAAAGAGACTGTCAACCTCGAAACATCGGCAACAGATGCACGGATATTACTGTCTCGTGCTGTCGAAGTCATCCCTCTTTCTGTTGAACTATGGCTTGCCCTCGCGAGACTCGAGACCCCGGATCGCGCTAAAGCTGTGCTCAACAAAGCACGCAAATCAGTACCAACTTCACATGAGATTTGGATTGCTGCCGGACGGCTTCTTGAGCAGGAAGCAACAAACGACTCTGATAAGTCAACTGAACAACGTAACAAAGAGTTGGATGTCGTAGATAAAACGATCGAGGCTGGTGTAAGGGAACTTCGGCGGCATCAAGTGCTACTTACGCGCGAGCAATGGTTGAAGGAGGCAGAGAAGTGTGAAGGCGAAGGGTCACCGCGCACCTGTGAGGCGATTGTGAAGGCTACGATTGGGATGGAGATCGAGGAGGAGGATAGACTGGACACATGGATTACTGACGCTGAGAGTGCCGAGGCCCGGGGTGTGATTGGGACTGCCAGGGCAATACTGGCATATGCTCTGAAAGTATTTCCTGACAAAAGAAATCTCTGGCGGAAGGCTGCGGACTTGGAAAAGGCACATGGTTCAAGGTATGGTTTACTACCCTCTCTAGTACGCGCTATTGACCAACAATCGATAGGGAGTCTCTCGATGCTATTCTCAGTCAGGCTGTGCAATATTGCCCTCAAGCCGAGGTGCTGTGGTTGATGTCTGCAAAAGAAAAATGGTTGGCGGGCGACGTTCCTGCTGCCCGTGAGGTGCTAGAAAGAGCATTCGTTGCCAATCCTGAGAGTGAACAAATCTGGCTTGCAGCCGTCAAATTGGAAGCAGAGAATGGCGAATTGGGCGTCGCCAGAGAACTGTTGGTGCGTGCACGAACGGTAGCCGACACAGAAAGAGTGAGTGGTCTTACTTGGCAACTTTTCTTCCTGTTCACACAAAATTATCAGATTTGGATGAAGTCTGCTGTGTTCGAACGGCAACAAGGGCAGTTCTCAACAGCTCTTGAAACATTGTCAGCGGCACTATCCAAGTTCCCCAAATTCTCAAAATTGTACATGATCCAAGGACAGATACATCAGTCGCAGAAGAACTATCCTGCCGCTCGCGCGTCGTTCGCAGCTGGTCTCAAGGCATGTCCAAAAGAGGTGACGTTATGGGTACTTGCTAGTCGCCTTGAGGAGGAAGACGGAAAAAGTATCAAAGCTCGTGCTCTATTGGAACGGGGCAGACTGGTTAATCCATCCAATGAGACACTGTGGGCAGAAGCTGTAGGCGTCGAAGAGCGTTCAGGTGGTGCAGCCCAAGCCAAAGCTATGCTGGCTCGTGGTCTGCAGGAATGTCCGTCTTCTGGTATTCTGTGGTCGATGTCAATATGGTCTGAACCACGACCTACGAGGAAGTCTCGGTCCGTTGACGCACTCAAGAAGTCGAAAGATAACCCGCTGATCACATGTACGGTTGCGAGACTGTTCTGGGCCGAAAGAAAGATTGAGAAGGCACGGCAATGGTTCGCTCGTTCAGTTGCTACGGAGCAGGACAAAGATCTGGGAGATAACTGGGGATGGTGGCTGAGGTTTGAACGGCAGCATGGGACCCCAGTAAGATTGTTTATCCGCTTATGTCATTGACTGTAGCTCACTTTCGTGTGTCAGGAATACGTGGAAGAAGTCATCAGGCAATGCGTTGCCGCTGAACCACATCACTCACCTGCATGGCAGTCTATTGCGAAGGACGATGGTAATGTAGGGAAAAGCACGAAGGAGGTCTTGGAACTGGTAGCGGAGAAGCTACAGTGAAGGATTAGTGTGCTGTACATAGATGGTTTGTGTGTATGACTACGTCGCTTTTTCTTTCTACCTGGACGCGGAGATGATCTACCTCGACAGGAATTAGTCGTGATAGCTCAGATAATTCTGAACTTGCCTGCCATTTGATTAGCTTAGCTATAGTAGGGTGCAGGGCCGCCGCGGCAATCATCTGCAGCCCTTTCTTTCAAAAGTTACGTGAGCCACCCACTGAAATGCAACTTGAGTCACAATATCGACGGTAGTTGTAACTGTACAGAGTCTACGTTAGCAGTGGATTCTTTTTTCAGTACTGCCATTGTGCATAAGGTGGATGTGCACCGGTGGGCGTGACGCTTTAAAGTAATAAGTGCAGATTCCGCAGACTGTTATGAATATGCCCATAACTGGTACTGGTGAGTTATGCGTTTTTCGAATGTGCACCTCCACTAACCCAGGTCAGTCGAAAAACTTAAGCTTAAAGACTAGCAAGCGAAGCAGATTGCAGTAACTTGAAACCAATATGATACACGGTACCGTGACACGCCACTGCGATTTTCTGGTCCACTGGCATCTTTTGCTCTTCTTTGCAAGTTCATTCCGTGTTGATATTACTCCTATATATCGGAAATTCGGACATGAAGCTTTCACGTGCAAAGGCTTCTTCCCCTAAGGACCATAACTTCGAATGCACGCGGCCCTCGATGTCTTAATGCGTCAAACACCCCGCAATTTGTGAACCTCTCCCAGATCCTCTGGTACAAAAGTGTTACCTTTCACCAGCTCTAATGCCTCTCCAGCCAACTCCAGAGAGGCCGTCGATATGGCTTGCAGTATCGATGTTTACAGGGCTCCCTGTTATTCTCTGGCTGTACAAGGTGAATATCCGTATCCTCTCACTTGCATGTCGTTTCTTCTCAGTCAACGTCAATCATGTCCTGGGTATGTACTTTAGTGCGTGATGCTTTTTGTGTTCCAGCGTAAAATCATATACATGGGTTTGTATGTTTAACAATTCACCACATCGCAAACCGTGCTGAGTGATACACGTGATTTTCACAGGTTATGTACCCCCTGGTGCGAGGACCGAAGAGTTAAGCCATGTACCTTCAAATCACCTGAAAGGAATACGTTGTGAAGAAATTCAAGTTAATAGCAAGAACAAGGTCACTTTGTCAGGTATTCTTGTCCGTCGTTCTTCACATCATCATCAAGAAAGTCCTCCAGATACTGTCGTCGTATATCTTCAAGGTTTTACTCCATTACCCTTCATATGTACCAGCTTCCAATATCCATTTCACAGGTAATGCGGGAAATCCACTTGCCCGTCTCCCTGTTTTCCAAAGACTCCTGAGATCCTCGACATCATCATATTCAGAAACCTCCAACCTTCCCAAAAAAAGGATTGCATTTGTTTCTGTCGCCCCTCGATCTTATTGGAAATCGTCACCCCGCAGTCCCACTCAAGAAGGCCTTCTGACAGACTACCTTCACGTTCTAAAGGATACTCTTGACCGGTTCCCTAATTCTGAGTTGATACTATACGGCCACTCTCTTGGCGGAGCCATCGCAGTTTGCCTGCTTGCGCGTCTTTCTGAGTCTGCTACTGCGCACTCTGAAGGATGTCGGAACCAAAGGGATCCACGTTACGCTCGCATTCGAGGTTTAGTATTGGAAAACCCATTTGCTTCCATTCCGCGTATGGTCCAGGCCTTGTATCCGGAACGCTGGGTACCTTACCGATATCTTGCACCGCTGGCATGGGATAAATGGGATGCTGTTGCAGCGATGCGGAACGCAGCACGTAATGATGTGCAATCTGTCCTGGCCAGAATTGTACAAAGTGGGGATATTTTAGTCATGTTAAGCGAGAAAGATGAAGTGGTGCCTAAAGCAATGGGTGAGGAGATATGGGATGTCAGCGCGTGTGCAAACACGAATGGGCGAGGGAAGAAGGTTGTCGTGGAGGAAGCGTTGCATGAGAATGCATGGGAGCAGCGCCAATGGGTTAGGGAGATGAGGAAGTTTATCGCGGAGGCTGGTACGTCCTGTGCAGCATCTTAGTTGGTTGACGTACATCTACAGCCTCAGGCTATTTAGTTACATGAGCAGCACTTCAGATTCCCTTTTTTTTAAACGAATACTGCGCAGGATCCTCATGATTGCTGCGCACATGAGCCTCAAGCGAGGGTTGACAATTTTGTGCCATGGTTCCAAATTTTGAGGTTTTCCAAGCCATGCACGATAACTTTCAGCTCAAAAACAATATCATTTATATAGTCGTAGCTATGAAAATCGACGTAGACCAGAGTTCAACAGAACTCCGTACAGAGATATTTTTTGAGTTACATGCATACAGTTAAGTTAAGCATGTTATAACAAAGGAGAGATTATTATCAAGATGTTCAAAATATGCAAAAAAAACCGCTCGACGCACTCTTGTCAGAGCAAGAAAGCGTCCAAGAAGGTATACAAAGGTGCCATCCACTCTGAGGCTGGTGCACAATATTAGGGGTTCCTATAGTGAGGCTCGTCCTCGAGGCTCGAAAGGAAGTAGGAGGGTGATGAACCCTGATACGAGGAAAATTGCTCCTGACACCCAGATGGGGACTGCTGTTTCAAGGTTGGCGTAGAGTGCAATGACAGGGGCCTACCGTATAGCACTTGAGTAGAAGAAATGGCAAATACGACGGGAAGGCTTACCATGACACCGAATATACGGTTTGCAGTGGCCACAATGGCGTTACCCGTTCCTCGGTCTTTGGTAGGGAACAGTTCGGGAGAAAGAGCGTACAGCACGCCATACATGACGTTACTGGTGAAGCTATAACCGCAATTCCAACCGAGCAATGCATTCGACGTCCGTGCAGTTGTCGAGGCCAGGATGAATACACCAGTGAGAACTGATAGTGGCCATTAGCATGGTCGTATGCGTTCATACGAAGTTGCACTCACTGGTAAAGATGGAAACTGTACCGCGCCTTCCAAGATAGGGAATTTCAACGAAGAAACCCGCCATAAGGGCGCCAGGAATACCGATGACACTCAGGATCACTTGCTGTACATAGGATATCAGCTGTTGCCGCCATCAGCGGAACCCGGAGTTGCATACGTTACGGTATGTTATGTAAACCGACCCATCACCAAAGTTTGCGCCGCGAGTGGCAAGGCTATTTCCAACTTGAGTTTAAGCTACGAAAATCGCAAAGATTGGAATGAGACCCACAAATATGTGACAAAGCTGTTGTATCTGTCGGAACATATTTCAGGAACAAACTCTTGATGGAAAATGGCATTACTTACAAAGGAAAGGCAAGACCAATGAAGGCTATCGTCGCAAGTTGGGTCATATTACTCACAACACAGCATTGTAAGCATGTAAACACACTCACCCCACACAACAATCAAAATGCTAGTAGAGTATGCCATTTTTCGAGTAGCAAACAGACCTCTGAAGTGGTCGCCGCTGAATTTTTGAAACTGCCTTTTGACGGCACCCAGAGCAGATGTATCCATCTGTAATTCTTCTTCTTTTTCTTTCCCAGGAATATTGAGCTTTCCGGCTTGCATTAAGTGCTCGAGGGTCAGGTTACTTGTTTTGCCGTTATATGCCGCAATCTTGTGCACAATTTTCACAGCAAGTTCATCCTCGCCTCGACCCATGAGGTATTTTGGACTCTCATACAGCTTGAAGACAAAGAAACGGATGATCCAGAGGACCAGCATGAGACCACCCATGGCATAGAGGAAGTATCGCCATCCCTCGTTTGCTGAACGCAAACAGGGGGGAGGATTGAGATCGGTAGCAGCTGGAGTAGGACAAGAGTAATTCGCGATCAAAGGCCAAGCCACCTAGAAACTCCATCAGACAAGCAAAAAGATGGCATCTAACTCGGAGAATGCTACACACCAAACTGCCGAGTAGCTGACCAAAAGCCCACCAAATGGAGAGCACGGTTAAGAGATATTGATGTGATGCGGGAACAAACTCTGTTGATTTTACGTCAGTGGAGCTTGCTGTACACAACTGGAAGTATACTTACCCAAGAATATAGCGGAGTCAACAGGCAAGTTTCCTCCGACACCTATTGACCATGCTGCAGCCAGAGAGCACAAGGCAATCTCGTTAGGTGATCCACCAGCTGCGACAGCAAAAACGCCTGTAATGAAAAATGTGATATTGAATGCCCATCTGAAAACGCGGGATTCAATTTCGGTTTTGCTGTATAGGTGGTGATGATAGGCTACCTTCGTCCCCAGACATCTGACGCGACACCCCAGAATGCAGCTCCAACCAGTAAACCGATATTTTGGCCAAGTTTAAGGAACTCAGTCTGGAAAAGAAATTCATTGCCCACTGGAACCAAAATCAAGCCAGTAACTATCTGTGAATTCCAGCCTCAACATGCACGAAATATAGAGCATAACCTGTTGCACTTACTGGCCAGAGATTGTCACTAGATGTATCATGAAGTCCAAGTGTATATGATATGGACAGAAACTCACGATAACCACCCAAACCCAGCAACGACAAACAAATGCCACTAGAGTCGACACACACAGTTAGCGACCCAATCATGATTGAGAGGGAACTAAATGCAAACGTACTTGATACTTCCCCATTCCAATCTCTTGAAAAGCGTCATTCAAAATTTTTGCTTTAGCCTGGTAAACAGGGTCGACGGCGCCGTCGGTATATATATCCTGCGTCCCTGCTTGAAGCTCATCCACTCGGACTCCATTCTTCTTCTCATCTTTGGACTCTCCCTCGAACGAGCCATTGTTGGACATGGCGGGAGCAAAGACTGAGTCGGTATAACGCCGCAGACGCTTAAAAGGGGATCTCCTCTGAGAGAGTACTTATATATCCCAAGCGCTGTGCTCCACTTGGGCAAAATCTGGCGGATTACATATCGCGACCTAACTTTGAAAGTACCATCAAAATGGCGTGCTTCGAGAATCGATGTGTACATGTGGCGGTTCCCAGGTGTGATAAACAGCAAGGGGAAAGTGAAATATGTCGTAAAGCTGGAAGAACGTGATTAACATTCAAAACGACATGGCACATAGCTGTATGCTGTATATGAGCAAATGAGCAACAAAGACTGGGTTTCAAGTTGGCCCTTGGTACAAACTGTATTTGCACTGGTCTGGGAGAGTTCTGGGAACGCAAAATTTTGCCGCAGGCTTGACGTTATCATTGATGGAGAATATCGTTACAGTAAGTTTTCTGAGCCCAGGGCCTTGCAACTGCAGCCATCGCCGCACTGGCCACCGACACGCGTACGCGCACATGCCAATATTTACGCGTATCGTTCAGCTCGCCACCATGCATCGCCCGCCCGCTAAGTATGGCCATCGCGCCATCATTTGCTCAAATGCGCTCTTCTATTAGTAGAAGCTCACTGAAGATCTCCAATTGCGACACAATGTTAGCAACGCAAGACAGACACATAATAATACCGCAAAACTCATCGACGTCGAGTGCAGTTTTCAACTTCCTAAAACACACTACACTAGGGGACCATGCTTTCAATTTTTGGCAGTTTTCAGAAGTATCATTAATATTATAGCTAATTCAATAGGCCCATATCTTCCCGGAATGGTGTTTAGCCTGTCATAACCTGTAAACCCAGCTTTGGCCTGATTCTCGTTTGTCCTCTACTCACAACAACATCGTTATCATTGACAATAACGCAGAACGAGGTACACCAACGCTAATAGTTTGTTTTTGAATAGTCTGTTAATGTCCAACTGACTCTGACGATAGGTCATGATCGTACGTGCGCTATCTGGGGATTCCCATTCCGAGGTATACCATGAAAATCGCACTGGTCCCACGTACTCGAGATATAAATACTTACAGACATGATCACTCACACCAGATCTATGATCAGAACGGCTCTTGAACCAATATACCTTGTCCGTGAAGATGTTTGTTCCGGGGAAATATCTGTCAGTGCTTTTACCACTGACGAATTCTTGACAAGGCGCGTAATATCATCATCGTCATCATCATCACCTTATACAAAATCACATTGTCCAGCTAAAGTGACTATCGTTTTCAAGTAATGGCTGCCTCTAGAATACATGTATGCGTCAAGTTGTCTAGGTCGTTGCCAAAAACGTCCGATGGTAGCTTCTTTTGGTTTACTGACAGAACTTTGAAGCTTAGGACCATTTACACGTAGTCTATACGTGGACGACTGGGTAGTACACTAATATATGCCTGGAATCAGTCTATATCGCACCCTCCTCGCCCATGCCTCCCATGCCTCGCCGAACTCCTCCTTTAAGAACACATCTTCTTTCTTCGTCCGCAACGTCATGTTGACCAAGGTATACCCGACATTAGATATCCACCCGAGAATCAGGCACTTCCCCACATTAGTTTTCCAGATCCCACATTCCTGCACCCATGATCCAGGGCTCATCAAATACAAAGCCACACCAACGCCTTCCAACATCGCTCCTGTGTAGCTTGGATGTCGAACGATGGAATATAATCCAGTCGTGACAAGTTCGTGGTTAGGACGGATTGTCAGCTCGTAGGTGAAGAGACGTCCAAGGAGTCGGTAACATTCGAGACGTACAAGACCACCGAGCGAGGTTAAAAGCCAGCTGGCTAAGAATATGCGTGAAAGTCGAATCTGTCCAATAGCATGATGACGACTGGACAGCGTCGATGCTCCAGGTACAAGCAGCTGCAACAGCCGTTTTGCCAAATCTGAAGATGGGTTTCGTCGGATATAAATTACCGCTGCCTCGCAAAGGCAAACTATCCATATCATAATCTGTTGAATATATCAAGGCTTTCAATTAACGGTCCTACTATTGTGCGACGAACGAAGAGGGGGCACCTTTGTCATGTATGGCCCCTTTCGCACTGTCTTCACAAACAATGCCTCAGATAACGTGATATTTTTCAGCCGTTCATTTTGTGATGGCGGAGGGTTAGGAGGCGTCCAAGCGACATGCGTGCTCAGTGCAGTCGATACAAGAAATGGGATTTTCGTTAGCGACATGAAGGAAGGAGGCACTAAACGGTGGACTGACGCCGTGGATGCTAAGCTGCAGCTACCAGGGTATGTCATCTTTTTATACTCCTACAACCTGACCAAGTTTTGAGCTGTGCATCAAAGTGGATCCGCCACTACTTTGTTGTCTTCTCCAGTCTCATTCGGTATTGGCCTTCTCGGCTCATTTATGTCCCATCCCTGCCGTGTCCTCGGCTTATTCGTCCAATCAGCCTCAGTACCTCCCTCGAAGCTCTCAATATCCCCGCTTGGATTGTAGCGACAGCAGCTTCCTTCGCCTTTGTATGCGTGCTACCCCAGAACGTATGTTATATTCACCGTGCCGAAATTAACATACCCTGTAGGTTCTCCGGCTCGTTCTCCGGCCTTCGCCGCAGTTTTGAGGGAAATAGAGCTTGCTATAGCTCTGTTTGGTGTTCTACGATGAACTGGATTGGTTGGACGACAAGGTTATGATCCCGGCCCGCTAAGGCTCATTTAAATGATCAGTATTATCGATTCCTGCGATCAACCAATTAGTGGTATGTATGCTTACTTGGATTTTCCAGAAAAAAACACTTCACTGATGCTGATGTGGGGAACAACCTAGGTGTTTTGTTTCATGAGTATTCGCGCATCTCCTCGGAACCGGTTCAAACTTATTGTCAGTGTAGTTTCTCTTACAAATCTAGCATTCAGTTACCCTATCAGTATCAGTATCAGTATCACGAGGCTAGCTAAAATCACGTCATATCGTGGTTTTTGACTCTACCCCATGATTGTCAAACAATGCATCGAGAGCTGGGAAGAGTGCTTAGTGCCTTAACCCTCCCCGTCACGCGGACATAAAAGCTCTCAAGCTCAGTTGATAAGACATTCCTCGGCGACCCTGAAGAGAATTATCGGCGTAGGGAGCATGAAGTCACCTGGAAGGTGAAGAGAGATCGCATCGTTAATTATATTCATCTCAGAAGTTACCTGACCATGGTGCTTTTACTTCACATTCTCCTAAGTCGGTGTTCGAATGCATATCTAGAACACTAATCTTAAATGTAAGGTGTGTCTTCTGGTCATATCTTTGGGAACAAAGTCCGGTTCAATACTAACCATCTTCTCATGGCTATCCGTTGGAAATTTTGGCACTTTCGATAGTCCCAAGTTAATTCAAAGCTTGAACTCGTATTTGGACATCGTGTGAATTCGTTGTGATGCTTATGTTGTTTGCGTTACCACCGCAGGTATTATTATCGCGATAAAGGCAGAGACCACTCGGCGAGCCCTGGTCATGTTCCTGCCGTATAAGCTAACGCCCAACGTATAACTTGACTTTTGTGTAAAGGTACGGCGCTTGTGTTACCTCGTGTCTTTTTTCTGTTGTTTTTTTCCCATGGATTTATGGATCATGTGTCTGAATCTGTCTAAGATCAATCAGAAGCTTTAGAACCGCTCTGATCACTCGCTCTTCTGTTGCTAAACAGAGCGTAAGTGCACTATTACGGTTCGGCTTCATCTTTGACTATCTTTCTCATGGTCACGGTTGTCCTCTAGTATCGAGGTATCAAGATGGTGCCATCGCTACCAGTTGTTCAGGTCTCTTTCACACCACTCCATAGTCGTCTGTAGCCAGATGACTTCGCGTCTCAGGCTCCCATTCTTGATAGCTGAAGCTATTGGGGTCTATGTTACTTTTACGCCTCCAAACAGTGGTGCTGAACCAGATGAGATCGCGCCCACGGGTTTCCGCGAGGATTTTCTGAACACTATTACTCGCTACTCTGTGGTATTTACAAGGGTTAGTTCCAAAAGCAGCGAATAGTATCTGTTTTACATTGCTTGACGATCCCACTCCTATTGTATAGGGCATATTTGTGTTGGCCGAACTCGCTGAAATAGGCGTCATTCTCCCCTCCGTTCTTCCTCCACCTTTGTCAAACCATCTATCTGCAGCTCTATCTGGTTTGGGCCGTCCCCAACGGCTGCGCGTCACACCGTTATTCGTTTTTGGTACCTTGGCGGGCTCTGCAGCAGGTCTCATTCGGTACACCTGCTACAGGACCCTTGGTCGTCTATTCACGTTTCAACTGGGCATCCGTAAAGAGCATCAGCTTGTCACGGCCGGTCCATATTCAATTGTCCGTCACCCGAGTTACACAGCACTCGCTTTTGCGATCGTCGGTGCCGTATGCTCTCACGCCGCTCCTGGATCCTGGTTGAGGGAGTCAAACGTCCTACGCACACCGATAGGGAAGGGGTTAACAATAGGATGGATAGGCATGATGGCCGCTGTTTCCGTAGCTTTGTTAATGAGAATACCAGATGAAGATAGGCTCCTTCAAAAGAAGTTTGGGAAAGAGTGGGACGAGTGGGCGCGAAGAGTGAGATACAGGGTGATACCTGGCGTCTACTAGCAGGATAAACCCCAGGGCCTTGATCAAAGGGCGAGAAATGATACGTGTTTGTCGCCACATTATGCTAGTGACTTTTATGGCAAGGAGCTTTGATTTTTGTCTTGCTTGTTCATGACAACCTCACGAAGCCCGTAAGAGTACTGCTAGTTCAAACGTTCAAGCTGCAACGTTGCGGCCTCTTCAAGCCCCCGCTGCCGAGCCGCAACCAAAACCCAGCTCCGACTCGGTACTGTAGTGTGGATGTCGCAGCTAACGTCATATGTATCGCATCATTACCGTGCGATGGAGTGGATACAAGACTCGGATGCAAGTTGAAGTAAACTAAAATCTATTCATCACTTTGCTCTTTTAGTGTAAAAGCTGCCCAAAGTAAGTAGTCTACGTTGATTTTTTCTGGCGCAATACTAATTCTCAATGAGGAGTTACTAATGACCCATGACATAGGTAAAGAAAGTGAACGTTCCGTTCGGATACTAGAAGACTGCCACTAGGCAAAACGTGTAACTGTTGTCATGTTTTATCACCACTTACATCGTTTGCCTCGAAGGGTTACGGAAAATGGAATTAGCCTGGTCAGTCATATATGACTGTGATCAAGACATGATGATTGAGTATATATATATATATAAAGGACTCTAGATTTAAAACATTACCCCAGCTTTACGCTCCATCCCAAAGAAAATCATGTCTCTTCTGAAGCTGCCTTTCATTTTATCTTCAGCCATCGGTATAAATGTGGCCTACACTCCCCCGAATGCTCCTCCTGGCAAAGATGAGATGTTGAAGCCTAGCTTTCGTGAAGTATGCCTCAACAATGCCACAGGCACGCTTACCATCGTACTGAAGGTGTGTACCATCTATCAAAGATTGGGAGAGGAATTTGCTAACGCGATTGCAACAGACAACCTTCTGGTTGGCGACGCTAGGTCAAGCTGCCACCATTATCCTTCCACTAGTCCCTCCGTCACAGCTTCCAGAGGTCGCATCAACCCTGTTAGATGCCTTGGGCGGTCCGGACAAGAGCAGCGTCTCGCCTGCTTTTCTAGTGGGAAGCACACTCGTTTCATTGGGTGGCTTACTCCGATGGCAATGCTACCGTGCTCTGGGCCGGTTGTTCACATTTCAACTAAGTGTGCGCAAAGATCACAGACTCGTGAAGGACGGTCCCTACTCCTTCGTCCGTCATCCAAGTTATTCGGCCATAGCGCTAAGTTTTGTGGGCGTTATAACGATGTACGCGTCTCCCGGGTCATGGTTAAGAGAATCGGGGCTGCTCGATAATCGTATAATTGGACGAGTTGCTTGGGCTTGGGCTACTTTCATGGGTCTTACCACGATCAGCCTTTTCAGGAGATGTCCTAAGGAGGACCAAATGATGAAGAAGGAGTTTGGCAGAGAGTGGGATGAGTGGTCGAGTAGGGTGAAATACTGGGTCATACCAGGTATCTACTAGGGCTTGAAGCGGGAATTATGCAGCTGATGATTTGAGTGTAACGCTTTCTTGACTTCTGCACGTTTGTAATGACCAATCCGAAATCAGCTTGAGATCTTTATTGTTACTATTACATTGCTGCAACTTTGAACATCATTACAGACTCGAGTTCGACTTCCCAGTGGATAAAAGTTCAACTTCAAGTTGCTAACTGTTCTATCCATTGCGGCTTTACTTCGCAAAGGTGGATGTGAAATACAAGGCCGAGGATCTGCAGGATGCCGTTATAGCTCACTGCCGCCCATAAGCCGTTCAATTGGAGTAACTCACGATCATGTCCGAATCAGAATTTAGAATATCGCTCACAGGATCTTTCCAGTGAAGAGAAAACGAACTTTACACTACAGACAATATCCCATTTCCAAATTCTGATAATCTCAGCCTGTCCACCGAATCTATGTCGCCCGGTAGTCTGGCTTTTCGGCTGTCCCGCAGTGTTCTGAGCACCATTTCACCGCCGTAAGTGCGAAGTGAAACACATAGCTCAAACAAAACAACTGATCCACTGCGATTTCCTATCGCAGAATTCCGCAAGCCAGAAAATGGGCAACAATGTATGTCCCAAAGGCTGGGAGACCTCTTCTAGACATGTCGCAAGGTGTCCCAGGCGTACCGCCTCCAAAAATCCTTCTAGACGCACTTTCAAAGGCGTCTTTGTCTCCAGATGCTTGTGGTTATTGCCCTCCAACCGGAGAGCCGTCTCTCAGGCATGCAATGGCGCAGGAAATGAAGACGGTCTATGGACAGGCTGCAGATATCACATCCGATGACATTGCCATTACTTCGGGTTGTAACATGGCTTTTATCGCCACTGTCATGTGCTTGGCTGATGCTGGAGACGAAATAATCCTTCCTGTCCCTTGGTAAGCATCCTTTTCAATGCGTATGGCATACAGCTCCTCACTCTGTGGTTCGTTTTCATCTACTCAGGTACTTCAACCACCAGTATGGTGCTTTATTTGCTTCTGCATTTTAGCCAGCCTTTGACCCATCGCCCCAGAATGAGTCTGAACCTATTGGGAATCAAGGCAGTGCCCTTGCTAACTTGTACGGAAGAAGGATTCACGCCTTCTCCTCATACGTGCGCCAGTCTTATATCATCCAAAACCAGAGCCATTGCTCTTGTGACGCCTAATAATCCAGTAAGCCCTATTTCACCAGCAAACTTTTGCGTATCGAACATCAACTCTGGCTTTCACAGACAGGAGCCATTTATTCACCTGCACTGATCGCGTCCTTCGCCGACCTTGCTAAGCAGCACAACCTAGCTCTCATCGTTGATGAAACCTATCGCGATTTCATCAATCCCGGCCCACCCCATTCTTTGTTCTCGCCCTTACCGCCCAAACCATACCATGGTGCACACCTAACAAAATCCTGGCGCGAAACTTTCGTTCACCTTTTCTCCTTCTCTAAATCATACTGCATACCCGGCCATCGCCTTGGCCTGATCGCTGCATCGCCCACACTCCTGAGACACATCACCACCACCCTCGATTGCCTCCAAATTTGTCCTCCACGACCCCCTCAGCTTGCGTTTGCATCCCCTTCTTTGTTACCTTCTCTGAGACCATCGATCCTTGCCAATGCGACAGCTCTAGTGGAGCGGCACAGACTATTCCGAGAGCTCCTCCCCGAGAAGTGGATCATTGGCGCTCAAGGCGGGTACTTTGCCTTCGTCAAACATCCTTTCATGGGCGTTAGCGCTTATGACGTGTGCGCTCGTCTTGCAACCGAGGTCGGGGTGTTAACCCTACCGATGCAATTCTTCTGCGATGAAGACATGGAGGTGGGAGGTGAAGGAGGGGAGGTGAAGGGAGATTGGGAGAGGTGGATAAGGTTTTCTGTCGCGAATGTGGATGATGAGAAGGTGCGGAGGGTGTGTGAGAGATTGAAAGAGTGCGAGGAGACATTTGGATGGAGTGTAGAGCAAAAAGGCGCAACTTGAAGTCATTCACCCGAGACTCTCCCGACACTCTGTTTCCAAGAGTAAACTGGCTTATAGAGTTGGGTCAACCGTTTGCTCAAAAGGGTCATTAGTGACTCGGAAGTACATTGGGAAGTACATATTAACATGTTCAGATTACATTCTTTGGGTTGTGTTGGCCAATCCAGCTTGACACCGGAATCGATGATCCTAAAAGGTTTCTTTGTAACATGGAGCATATATTGAGCATATTACAGAGTAGTGAGTTTTAATACACTTGGCCTACAAAATACAAGCTATACACAATGGGTACTATACAGCAAAGGTAGATTTTCTGGATCAATATGCAAACATTTCCCGCTTCACTCGACTCCCGTCGATGCCAACAGAGGCCAAATCAGCCAGAACCGCATCTTCAAACAACGGGGGCCCACATAGGTAGATTTTTCTTTCAGATAAGTCGCCCAAAGTCTCTACCTTTAGAAGAGCGCCAGAAATTCTACCCCGGTGGCACCTCAGCGTAACACCTATGCCTTTCATTTCGTCCAGAACAATATCAGATACGTCATTGGTCGTGAAGACATCAATCGTTATTCTCATGGTAGGTGTATTTCCATGGTCCTTTTGGTTAAGCTCAGCATTTGTTTGCAAAGCTCGAGTAATGAGGGGTAGAAGGACCGAGGGTTCGCGAGTAGATATGAGAAGATTAATATCGTAGCTTTGCGTGGAGTTGGGAGAAGAATCACGAAGATCCGAGAGGCTGTTAAGCATGCTTATGAAAGGCGTAACACCAATACCTCCCGCAATCCACAAAAGCTTTTGAGGATGATTGGCGGTGGTGGTGCGCGGGTCTTGACAGGCATCTGCTAGGACTTCTGGCAACGTGAAATCACCAGATATCCCAACCAGGCCGACAGTGAGACCCAGGGGCCGAGTGTCATCCAGAAGCTCTGATTTCATCTCAGCAAGCCTGCTCGATATCGAAAAGAGAGCCTCGGTGACTGCGCCACCAGGTTTCCTACGCATGGTGAGAGAAAATGACCGTGCTGGCTGTGAGGGTAGTGGAGCTGGTCGATGCCAGCCATTCGATCGAGAAATGGTCCAGGTACGAATGCGGTCATCATTCACTGATGTAGGATTGGTAGGCGCCATATGCTGATACCTTTGGGACCCAAGGAAGGCTTTGAAGTCCAGGATGGCCGTCTGACCTGGTTTTACCTCGAGATCCTGCTCTGATTGAAAGGTGAACGTCGCAATATCAGGACTATGAAGCTCAACGCTCGATAACATGACCTGCGTATCGTCATTGTAATATTGAGAAAGAGCCGAGGTTTCGTCAGCAAGGTACCGTATTGGAGGACTGTAGGCACTGCGTTGGACCTCGCTGCCTGGAAGCTGTCTAACTGGAAGTGCATCCTCGACAAATACGTAGCCTGTCACAGAAACCGTTGTTATGGCATTTTGGAGCGGCATGACTCGCTGTGCGTCTTTTCCAATGAGTGTTTTTGCGTCTCCTGTAAGATAGAGGATAGAGCCAGAGGTAAACGACACGAAGGTCATAGAAGCACGGGGCGTGGCTTCAATGTTCCCCAAGGATGACATTAGTCGATTTCCTGAAAAAGCCAAAAGTAAGTCATTCACGACGTGAAGATGACAATTCAAAAGTCAAGCTTACCTGAGTAGTCTGGGAGTATGAGGGTTCGCCCATCTGAGGGCGACACTCGAACGAAACCCTGTCTACCACCACGCTGATTCATTCCTAAATGTGATGGGAATGCAAGCGTATCTTGTTCTGTCGCTTCATATGACGTCCCCAGAAACACTGTGTCCGCCTCATGAACAAAGGATATCAGCTCTTCAGGAAGGCGTTCGTTGACTGCCAATTCAAGACGTCGATGCAAAATTTTAGGATTTGTAACGGGATGAGGTATTAGATCTCGAACGTTAATGTATTTAGGACAGTTCCTAAGGGAAATGTTCAGTTTTTAGTAGCGTTTTATACTGGAATGGACGAACCCTAATGCCTGGTTTACCACCACTTTAACTTCATAACGATCTGCGTTACTTTTGATATCCTTGATCCAACCAGCAAATTTGTTTCTCCTTCTAGTCGAGAATTCAATACCGATGCCAGCGATCAACATATGATCTGTGTGGGCCAGAAGTGCCGAGTTATCTACGAAAGGGTCTCCGTCCCATACTTTGGCAGACATGGTAAGTTCGGTATAGTGGGGACTTGATATAAATCCTGGTTGACCATTTGGGCTTGCTAAAATCGAAGACCAGGGTCTCCGTTTGTCGTCGAGAGTAGTGACAGGAACGAATGGCAGCTGTGTTGTGTGGAACACTTTGTGCTGTTCAGGCATTTCACCATCAATCCAAGTCCAGGCAGTAGCCATTGGACCGTCAAAGTTGAGCTTCCGCTGTATGGCCAATTCGCCTCTGTGCCAGCCGTTGAGAGCAGACATGGTGTAAACTTTGGATGTAGAGCAAACTAGAATGGACAGTCAGGAGGAAGAGATATCGCAGGTTTATAACTCAACGTCGACGAGATCATTACATTCTTGATGTGATCAATTGCAATTCTAAATTCTGAGCGCTGACTGAGGTCGGTAGATGCCCGAGGTCGACAATTCTGTTATTATCGATCCTAAACCAATCGTGGATGCTGCTTTCTCATCATGCCATCATGAGTGTGCGTGACACGCCGACTCGGAACCCAACCACGTTACCTGCTAAATCGAGCATGCTGTTCAAACGTTCAAGTCAAGATGGAAACAAACCTTTGCACTTACATATTACCTTCCAGAATTACATACAATTATTACTAAGTACACTATGAACAGCGATTAGGAGGACACTTGTTCTAAGATATTACAAAGCCAGGAGTTACCATGCTACTAGTGTCTCTCAATCATAGCATCGCCCCTTGAGACACAAAAGCGGAGGCAGAACAGTAGCAGGTTTTTCTCCTTTTGCAACTGCTTCTTTAACACCCTCTGCTAGCCTACGACTGCGTTCCCAATCTACGGCTGGACTGTCACATCGAAGATCTTCCCCTTCAAGACATTCCGAAGAGGCATCGATCGTTTTTGCCCTCTCGATCTTCGACAACCTTCTCGCACGTTTCGCCGAATAAGCAGGGGAGACGAGGTCTGGCCTTGCCTTAGAGAGTTTCTCAGCAATGGAGAGACGGTCTGATGTACGTGCAAGTCGTTGAGCTCGTTGATCCGCAGGACTACCTCGTATTACTGATGAGTCTGACGAAGCCATCATCGGGAGAGTCGAATAACGACTAGAAGAACCAATAACCGGAAGTGTTGGCTTCGGTTCCAAGCGTCTGGGAGATGCGACACAAGGCGATGAAGCACTTGCGTTCGAAGGACCACCGATAGGAGCATGGGGGAACTGTGTTGATGAATTCGCAGCTTTACTAATCTTTGAACTGTCTGGTTTCCACATCCTGGCACCTATATCCGTCCCACTACCTTGTTTGAGGGATGATTGAGATCGTCGAATGTGCTTCGTAGTAGGATATATCGAAGACAAAGACCCGTTACGGCTATCACCTTTCAATGTATTGTCATTTTCAGTCGAGCCATCCTTGTCCACCTTACGCCGTTTGGTTTTGCGTTGCTGATCGTCATCTAGGCTTTGAGAAGCAGATGAGCTAGCAGTAGAACGGTCTTCCATGCTACAATTCTTGAGATTGTGAAAAGGTAAGGCTTCCTTTTCCTCGATCCTTAGGCCACTGCCGCTCGCAAACGTTCCTGGGACCACTGGAGCTATAAAATTCGCCGACGGTGGCAGAATCGTAGTAAGGCCAAGAGTTGGAGGTGGTATAGCAATAGAGCGAGGAAGCTTAGTTACGCGTACGTTTCCCTTGTCTTTCTGGCGACGAAAGACTGGTCTCGGAGGTGAAGACTCGGGAGTCAACTGACCCGTGACTGGATCTACAGGGTACAACGGCACCCCCACGCCAGTATGAACGCTTCTGCCTGATATCGACAGAGACTGGGACAACGACGAGTCTATGTCATCCACACCAGCCAGGTGGGCAAACAGGCGATGAGCGGTTTTTCCACGCTCGTCATCATCTGTGTCGTCGTCACTGTCCACGTAGCGTTTGAGTACCTCTCTCCGCTGTTCTTTCTCCGATCTACGTTGAGCTGCTTCTTGAACTTCCTCTTGCGCTTCGACTTCGAGCGCTCTGCCGTCTGCTAGTTCCTTGTCTAGCTTTTCTAGTTCCTTTAATGCATAACCTCGCGCCAAAGCTCGATCCACGATGGCCTTTTCCTTCCCCCGCAGCCAATAACTAAGCACCCTCAGCTTCTTCACCATTTTACCGTCGTCTGCCCATTGCTCTGCATCTTGAAGAGCCTGAGTGCCTCCCATTAGGTTTTTGAACGAAACATCTCCATCGTTATAATCCAATTCGTCCGAAGCAGGACCGTTGTAGTCGACAATACCCTCGGTATCATGATATGCACTAGGCGCTTCTGGGTCGTTGAAAACGCAGTCTGCGAACATGATTTTCATGCATGCCCAATCCAAACCATGCAGCGCGGGTATGAGTGTATTAGGTATCACCTTGCGCGGACGAAAGAGAGAGACGAAAGACATGAGTTCGGGTAATGGGGAGTGGCGGCTTAATGCGACAAGCTATAGAAGAAGATTAGCCAAATATGAGATCTTATCAGCCAACATCCTCACCAGACTGTCTACATTTTCTCCATCATTCATCTGCCTTTTCACACTTGTCAAGTACATTTCCCATTTTGACTCGCTCATGGGGATGGGATTCACATAAACTACCTTCTTTCCAACTTTACTAAGAGGAGCAGGTTCATTGCCATAGTTGTAATCTTCGACTGAAACTATATCACATCGATCAAACCGTTCACAGGCATGAAACCGAGTGGAACTAGGATCACACGTGAATATACTGCGCAGAAAAGGATCAGAGACGTGCGAGTAAATGGAATGTTTGTAGCGGTCGACATGAATCTATGCAAGAGTTCAATTTATATGCCATCAAATAAGCGCATTTAGAGTATGTAATTTACCTTGCAATGGAATGTGTTTGCAATGGCCTTGAGAATGTCTTCGTATCCCCATGTCCAAGAGTTAATGAAGAAATACGTAGTAGGCGGAAATAATGCAATAAGCTCTATGAGACCTGTGACCGCTTGTTCCTATCAGTAAGATTAGTTGCTGGCGCCTATCAATAAAAAAGGATTATCGGGGCTGACCTTAGTTGGGACCTTAAGAGTTGAAAGGAGACTCGCTGTATCTAAATGAATTGCTTCCAGCGGTTGATAGGTAATTGGCCCCTCGGCTTCTGCAACGGCAGGAACATTTTCAGCTGGAATGTAGGGCTGCAGAAAAGGGTTGCGAGAAAGCGTATCCAAGAACCAAGGTTCTGCACGGAAGTCTCCTGTATGTAAAATGGCGCCTTTGTCGCCTTGGATGAGAAACCTGCATAGGGATTACCACAAAGTGTCATAAGCATATTCTGAAACGTACATGACAGCACCAGGACAATGATTTGCATCTATCAAAGTGATCGTGACCGTTTCCAACGCGTTGAGCTCAAAAGGAGTGGGCGTATTGAGAGGAAGCGCAAACTATATGTTGTTTAGGTGCAACAGTTACTGCAACGACGAGTTAAATACCAGGAGATCTCTTGAACCATGATAAAACTTGGTTCCATCTGGTTGTATCCACGGATCCACCTTCAAGTGTGCGAAGGTGCGCTTTACCACAGCCCGCATGTCGTTCTCGTGAAGAGCTCTTTCGGCATATACCTCGTGCCTCAGGAGCATTTCCTTAGCATCATTGGAACAGATGACCTTATAGCCAAACGATTTGGCAGCAAGTCCATTGATATGATCTGCATGGGTATGAGAAAGGAGGTGTAATAAAGGTTTGACATAAGATTCTGAATTCTTGTACGAATCGCTAAACTCGTCGACACGAATTCTATAAGGTAGCACGAATGAATTGTAGGGCGTTCCAGGCGGCATAACTATCAGTGTAGCGAGGCTGAATGGACGTTGGATGTTTTATTATTGAATGTTGAATGGAAGAGCAGCGTCATTTACAGTAGAAAATATGGAAAAGTCAAGCTCAAAATGCCAGTGGCAGACATAAAACTCCGCAGCATCACACAGTTGCGGAGCTATTTGTAAAACATGATTCGTCGACATACTATCGTTGGACAATAGGTGCAATTGGTCTGGGGAGAAGTTGAATAACTCACCAGTTGTTGAGCTTTAGACTGTCGGAACTTGACCAGTAGATATAATTTTTAGTTTTCTAGCTGCCTATGTAGAAAAATAAGCAAGGACTTGAAGCATTGGAGCAGCGGAACAAAACCGAAAAGACGACACATGTTTTGGAATGGTTCTGCAATTTCTGGTCACACTGGGTCACAGCGGCACTCACAGACCAAATCAGGCGGAGCTTACAAGTCAAATTCCGCCAGGTCACACCAAGTCCTGACGCTGGTGGTATGTGCGGTACGTACCGAAGCGGAGCTAGCGGTCCTTGATTGATTATCTTGTGTGTGATTGCCTGTTTCGGTCGCCTAGTCACGACTCCATCATTGTTTTCGTTTCTCCAGACGCTTTGAGGCCCCAATCAGCTCAGTAAGTATCTGGCATTGTAGGGGCCTACCTATTGACATTTTCTAGAAAGATATTGCAATATTTTCAGCACGAGATCTGGTCAAATCTGGCCATCTTTCCCTCACAAATCACACTTCTGGAGTTCAAGAGCATAGTGTCAGGTCTGTCGTTGTTGCTACAGATAAGCTATTCACTAAATTCTTTCACAATTATATTCTCTATACTATATTCTACATCTGACAGTTTTCTAGCTACCTGTACAGTGATCGTTGAGCCTCTGGAGGCCCAAGTGCATATCTCTTACTGGTTGCATCCGGCGTCCAACGATAGTAGTCATATATCATCAATGGGGCCGGTTGGAACCTTACTCCGGGGTCTACCGAAAAACAGAGCGAAGGGTCAATGACATCTTGTTGTACTGTTGATCATGGTAGCAATAGCCCAAAGGTCTGCCAGAGGGATTCAGGAGGTATCAGAGTCCTCAATTGAGTGCTCGTGTGATATTTACAACCATGGTTCTGTCAGTGTTGAGCCTGTAGTACCTCAAAAATGATTGTTGTAGATGTTTTTTCACTAGCAATCTAGACTGTTAGTAGACCTTAGGATGTACTCTGAAATCAGGGTTCTATTGTAAAACAGTCTTCAGAGCTTCGTGTTCAAAGCACATATATAATAACAATCATGAACACATTATATTTTTTGGAACAGCAAAAGCAACAACCAAATGCATGATGGTATGAAGAGTACATGAGAACATCAACTAGGTACTGGTAGTGACGATACTCCCATTGTAAACCAAAGAAATCAGTTCTTGCAATCTCCCCCAGATTGCACACCTTGCAGATATGTAGTCTGCATCGTCACCAAATACCAAGGTATCCTCACCCAAAACTACCGCATCCCTCTTGGCTAACCAATCCTGCAAAAAACAGCCTTCGGGGGAAATCTTTGGGCTCCAACGAGTCCATTGGCCGTAAGGAAACTTGGGATAAGCCGCCACATAAGCCATCCAAAAAGCCTTGCAACCCCACACCCATTCCAGAGATTGCCTGTTGACGACTTCAGTGAGCAGCCAACACTGCAGACTATTCATTAGCCTGACCCACGACTGCGTATTATAGGGATTGAAGCTCGGGTGAAGGGGTAAGAAAGACAAGGGAATCTTCAGCTCTTGCATTTCCTGCGGTACATCAATCGTGTAAAAACAGAAAATAAAGGAAATATCCACCTCTTGATGTGAGCAGAGCACTGATGGTAAACTTCTGCCACAATACATAAAGTCTAGAGGCCCAAAGTTCACCACTGGGGTTATTCCAGCACATTCCTGCGGCAGTGTGATTGAGACCTTCAACGGCTAGAGAGCATAGATGAGTTAGTCCTAATCAACAAATAAGAAGAGAAAAAATCACCACATCCGCCAACCTAATCCTGGTAGCTGGCACTGAGCCTTTAAAAGAAATTGTGGTGTTCAAAGGTCGCAATCCATTCCTCGAGCCCCAATCTCTGTCAGTCACCTGTGGATACAAAATAGTGGACACGGTTGTTGCCATGATGAAGTTGGGAGAGGGTGAAGTGAGAGTCACTGTGTGGGAACTTATCAGCGAATCATTGGATGAGTTCAGGCAGTCGAGAGCCAGTGGCTGTGCTACAAACTGCATTCTAAAAACACCATATCAACAACTTGAACGTGCGAGGCTGAACATGCCAAAAGCAACATCGCAAATCAACCAATTGGACTCCCGAGGTCTGTTTGGCCATCTTGTTATGTGGATTTGCTGAATGACTGTACCTTTCTAGTGTACAGATTGTTAAATGGCGGTAGGCATGTTGCATGCCTTGTCTGCCCCAAACAGAATGGGGTTTTCTTATTGATGTGGCGATGCCATGTTATTAGCCACAATACCTCCCAAAAGCATACATGCCATGTTTTCAGGCATTTGGAGGGCCTTCAGTTTCTCCCACCATCTCGGTCACCTCGGTCTCTTCCACCATCCCGTTGGTCACCAGCTCATCCACAGCGAAACCTTTCACCTCCTGTTCCAGCCTCTCCTCGCTCCGATTATCTTCCAAGTCCAATAGCAAAAAGAGAGCAGGAAAATCATGATGTCATGGGAAGATGCAGTAAAAAAAGGGCAAGGCAAAACACTATCAGTATCAACACAGTTCCTTTATTGTCAGTCAGACATTCTAAAAAAATATGTGTCCATAAAAATGATTCAAAAATCAAAAATAATCACATGAATGAATGTTCTGCTGAAAAAAAAGAAACTGGAGCCACCGGTCCACCACCTAGTCCAAATCCGACAGTTCCATGGCCTTACCAATGGACTGGTTGTGTTGGACCACCTGGTCAAACAAGGGAGGGAGGGGAGTGGTTCCAATTTAGAACAAGTGAGTCCCAGGCAGCATGTGGTAGGTGTAGCTATAGCGAAGACGATGGACAAAAGATAAGTGTACCCAAGTGAATGGGACAGCGATGAACATGGGCGACGCAAGGGGATGAACCTTCTCCAGCTCAAAAACTACCCACCCACACTCCAACCAGGCAAGACGAGCGACCAATGTTTTGATAGTATATGATGGTAGATTGATGTCATAAAGATGGACCTGTTGCCCTATTTGAACCGGCCTCCGGGGCTTTGCTGATATCAGCAGTGGCACGTGGTAGTCAACGGATTGGCGATGGAAGCGGATAGGAAGTGGTGACATCAGAAATGGTGGGGGAGCAAAGAAGATGAGGAGGAGGAGGGTGGAGGTGACGAGGAGGTGAACTAAAATGGGGATCCAGAAATAACCGTCGGGTGAGAATAAAAACGAGAGTAAGGGACCCATGGTGGGGCTAGGCAAAGGAAGGGGAGTAAGGGAAACGACAAAAGTGAGGGCGCAATGCAATGTGTAGCCAGTGGCGACGCGAAAATTTGCCAAAATGCTGAAATGCGGAAAGTACCGAATGGAAAAGCAAAGGTGAGCATGACTGGATTGCCTAATAGAGGTGGTGCTGATCAGCCACAAGATCGAAAAAGGCGATATTAATTACTATTCCACGTGGCACTGTGCCTGTGTGGCGCAAAGGCAAGTCTTTTTGAATATTCGCTTTGTTATTGACACCTGTCCATGCTACCAATCAACTTTGGTGCATGACAGCGGGAAATGGAGATTCTTAGTAGCAAGTTCACCCTGTCAATCTCGATACCAGAACTGGATAAGTACTATGGTAATGGGACACAGGTAAGGACATTTGTCATGGAAGCATGGAGCTGGAGTGAAGTATCCATGTTTTGGTAAGCTGTCAGAACTGTGACCTTCAGAGTAGTTGGAGTTTTGGAGGACAGAGATATGCTGGGGGAGCAGAACAGGGTACAAGGTTGGGAGTTGGCTTAGCTTGTGTGCTAGGCCCTTCCACAGACCTTAGTCCCTAACTTGATGGAATGAACAAGGAAAGAATGGAGGATGGAAGTATAGGGTCCTTCAGAGAAGGACAGGAAAACTGTTATGCACAAAGTGCTTAACAAGAGCCAGTTCTGGTTCAGTGATCCAGAGAGGCCAATCCAAGGATATGTTCAAGGATGAGATAGAATAGAGGTTCTCCCCTCCTGTGGTTCTGATGGGTTGAGTTAGTTAAGCTGAGACTGCATAGAGTTGTATTGAGAAATACTACTACCGTTACATAGGCTATTTATAGTAGATAAGATCCAGGATAGGAGTTACATCCTATCTACGGCAGGCTCTGCCATTGAAGGGTAAGTACTATATAAGGTAAGACAGATCCAATGACAGCGCAGAGGTTTGTGAAGGAGTATGAGTCACTGGTCTGATAGTATGACCAATGAGTAAACAGAAATGAGTAGTCCAGCGAGAAAAGAAAGAAGCGATCCCAAAAGTGTAACAAAAACTTGGAAAGGGACTTTAATAAAAGGTGGAGGAACTTATTGATATTCAAACTGCACGAACAGAGTATAGGAGCTACAGCTTATATACTAATTGAAGGGAGTGGAGATTGTAAGGAGTGACTTGTAATGCAGGTATGGAGTTCCATGTGGATTGGTAATCTAACCGGGTACATGCATGGGAAGATTTAGGTTTATTGTTACGATACACAATTTTTGGACTTACAACTTTCTTTCTCCAATTTAACCTTCTTTCTCATTTTTCACACTTGTGCCATACAGCACTTTCCTTTTGTTCAAACTCTACTTTAACTTTTTGACCCCATGGATAAATGTCATTAAATGGCACATCTAGAATTGGGGTACCTACCCCCCTTCTAGACTTTACAGAATTAAATATATCATTTTTGTCTGCATTTGGACATATGTCCAAGCGGTCAATGTCAACCCACATTAAAAGTTGCTCAAGGCTGCTATTCAACCAAGCACAACAGCATGAATTGTGCTCTCAATGCACAGTTTCTCACTACATCAAAACTGTTGTTCAAATTGCCTATGATATAAAAGCCCCATCTATTCAGGTCCACAAGAAGAAGAAGTGCTTTTTTTGCTCCAATGTATGTGGTAGCAGCCACAAGTGCCAGTGTGGCTTGTTCAAGTGGGGTCGACGAGTTCATTGTCAGACTGTTCTTTGTCAGATTGGCTTGTAATTGCCTCACTCAAGTCCATGATGACTCTGTAAGCCTGATCTCAGTGCTTAATCAGTCCTTAATTCGGATGTAGACTGCAGATATTTGACTTTGATTAGATTTATTCAATGGGCTCTTGTGGTTTATTCAAGTCATTAAAATATTATTGGCAGCCCTTTGGCTATTTCGGATATCATGTTTATATGTTGTTCCTATTGCAGAAACCTTATGGAAAGTCACCCAATACCAGATCTTTCAGAAGACAAAAATATTTCAATCATCTATTCACATACCCGAACAAATCCGAGGCCCATTTTCTCGATACAACTACGATACAACAGAGTTAATACCCCTTTTCATATGAGGTGAGACTGTTCCGAGACACTCAATGGGACGATGACGCGGATAAATCCGGGTCACGTGGCGGCGATTGTGCGACACCAGCTGTAGTCCGCTGTATTTCCTCAGCGAGCAATACGAAGAGACCAATGACAAAATTGCAGTAAAGATCCGAAAGAATACAAGCTTGTTATTCGTAAGTCTTAGAGCTCGATCGGTTTTGATAGCGGCGTTCCGCACCTGCCAATCACAGCCATGTGTCACCAGCCCAATGGAGTACAAATCAAGCACATGCAGCTTCTCCATCATCGCCCCTTGTCCTCTTCATCCATGAATATTTAACCAGCTATCCACACACAAACTAGCCAATCATTATTATCTAGCTTGACACAGATGTCACAACCAACAACGACCTTTGATCCTAACCCACCACCAGCGAGGACACTCGCTTACCAGTCGAAACTACCCAAGCTCCCGATCCCACCTCTTGAGGAAACCTGCCAGCGCTACTTGACAGCCTTGAAGGGTCTGCAGGATGAGGCGGAACACGAGAAAACTGAGCGCGCTGTCAAGGAATTTTTAGAGGGAGAGGGACCAAAGTTACAAGAGAGACTACAGACATGGGCAGAGAGCAAGGCCAGGTGAGTAGACCTGTCGGAGGTCTGAGCTGTACCACTGATCGCCTGGTCGCTTTGCAGTTACATAGAAGACTTTTGGTCAGTATAATCAGTGTAGGTTATCTGTACGAGAACTCTGCTGACTTTAGCCCCTTAGGTATGAATCATATCTATCACACAGCGACCCAGTCGTCCTCGCATTAAACCCATTTTTTGTACTAGAGTATGTATATTTTCCACTTATGTTGTTCCGTACCATAATAAGTCTATCAGGAATGACCCAACTCCAGATCGTGGATCTCAGCTTCCCAGAGCTGCCTCACTCATTGTCTCTTCGCTCGGGTTCGTCCATGACTTGCGCAAAGGCATGCTGGACCCAGACACTGTCCGTGGAACTCCTCTCGACATGGATCAGTACACAAGACTATTCGGAACTGCAAGAATACCAACAGCGGTGCGTACCTATTTTGAATCGATGGTTTTCACTGACGTTCCCCAAAGAGGGGCTGTAAGATGGAAGTGAATGCAGAGGCCAAACATATTGTAGTTTTGCGTCGAGGCCAATTTTGTAAGTTATATACCCCCTGATCTTACATTTCTGACCTTCCTACTAGACTGGTTCGACGCATTGGACGATGACGATTTACCATTACTGACTGAACGGGAGGTGCTCCGCAATTTGCAAGCGATCGTGAAAGATGCAGACAAGACGCCACCTACAGAAGTCGCTCGCACCGCCATAGGGGTGCTCTCTACCGAGAACCGTAAGACCTGGTCCTCCCTCAGGTCTGCACTAGCCAAAGACCGCACGAATGCATCTTGCCTGCAAATCGTTGACGAGTCTCTCTTCGTCGTCTGTTTGGACGATGCAGTGCCAGTCGATTTAGCCGATCTTTGTTCAAACTTCCTATGCGGGACCTATGACCTCCAAGGAGGTGTTCAAGTGGGTACATGCACAAACAGGTGGTACGACAAACTTCAGATTATCGTTTGCGCGGATGGGGCTGCGGGAATTAACTTTGAACACTCGGGTGTGGACGGACACACGGTGCTACGGTTCGCAGCCGACGTATTTACGGAGGGATTGATGCTTCTCGCGCGGTCCATCAACCCTTCTGCACCAACCCTATTTCACGCACCTCTCTCTCCTCACTCAAAGTCTTACAAACCACCAAAGAAAGGAGCTCACAACCACAGCCCATCCAATTCGTCATCATTATATGACACGGTGCCTAAGAAACTTGAATGGCGCCTAACTCCGACGCTGCGCGTGGGCATCAGGTTCGCAGAGACCAGACTGAGCGATTTGATATGTCAGAATGATTGCCAGGCGCTCGAGTTTCGTGGGTATGGCAAGAATTTTATGACTAGTCATGGGTTTAGTCCGGATGCCTTCGTGCAAATGGCATTCCAGGCTGCTTATTTTGGACTGTATGGAAGAACGGAGTGTACGTATGAGCCAGCGATGACCAAGGCGTTTTTGCATGGGCGTACTGAGGCTATCAGGACCGTACAGGTCGAAAGTGTCGAGTTTACTAAGGTGAGTTTGGCTGGCCATCTATTCGAGTTACTCTGTTTTGATTGTTGAGTATATGCTAGACATTCTTCTCTGAAGCACCAGCAGCCCAGAAGATCTCTGCTTTGCGCAAGGCTTGTGAGAGGCATGTGAAGCTCACAAAGGAGTGCGGTCAGGGGTTAGGTCAAGACAGGTAAAATTGCGCGCTTATTTACTTGCTTATACATGTTGACATTTTCATGAAACACAGACACTTGTATGCGCTCTACTGCCTCCATCAGCGCCAGCAGAGTGGAAACTTGGATCCTTCTCCTGACGATCCCGTCCCGAATGGTTCACTTTCTAACGGCCACGGGAGCAGAGAGCCACTTCCGCAGATTTTCGCCGACCCAGGTTGGCCTCTTCTCAGCACATCTATCCTCTCGACATCGAATTGTGGTAACCCTGCACTGAGGTTGTTCGGCTTTGGGCCAGTCGCCGCAGACGGCTACGGGATTGGCTATATCATCAAGGAGAATGGTATTTCAGTGTACGTTCTGTGCCCTATGTTGTCTGCTGCAGCTTGCATATCACGATGAGGAAACCTGATTTTTTATTATGCGCAGTGTTGCCTCTTCAAAGCATCTGCAAACGCGGCGCTTCCTTGACACCTTGCAGGGCTATCTGCTGGATATCCAGCGTATCCTCGTGCAGCTCCATCTCTCCGCGAATGAGCGGCCGGCACCGTTCGTAGACCACGCGGGCATCCTGAGAGATTCGAAAACAGGTAGACCAATCAACGGCCATGGATATGGGCACGATGAGTATGTAAACGGTTATGAAGATACGATGCGTGAGTTGTCCTATGTTCACTATGACGCGAGATTAGGAGTTAATTAACCCTCGCACTCGTCATCGTCTGACGACACCTTTGATGCCGAATGACTAGCGGGCTATTCGTTCTTCGATAGTGGAGATGTGGAATTGCTCGGTGGCCGCAAGAAATCACCCTACGATAACGTTGGTGAGTGCACTTAAGCTTATTTTTGCTCCTGGATGAGTCAGAGCTGATTTCGGGGTCCCTTGAAAAGGCAAGATTCTTCCGTTGTCTGATTACTGATGATGTTATCGCGGGATTTTTCTGTGTGCCGTTATCGTTATTATCTCGAGATATGGGCGATCGATTTAAAGTGTGATCTATCAATGTACTGTACGTTGTCTGTTTCTTGTATAGCTGCTGTGTAACTTTCCAGAAAGTGTACTGTACATTTCTTACTACCAGGATGTGCACAATTGTGTATTGTATGCTCGCTTAGTATTGCATTATCGCAATGTTGTCCGCTGATGAATACATACCATTACGGGCCGTAAGAACAGGCTTATGCATAGGGCCCCGCGGAGGATAAACAGAAAACAACAAATGATATCAGCCGTGGTAATCTGACCCACACCCATAATCCCCCTTTCAACCGTCCATTTCCCACTTGAATTCAGACCACCAACAGTAACGCAAATCAAAATGTCGCAACACACTCTCCCCGACCTTCCTTACGCCTACGATGCTCTTGAGCCCTTCATCTCGAGGCAGATCATGGAGTTGCACCACAAGAAGCATCACCAGACATATGTCACTGCTCTCAACGCTGCAGAGGCCAACTACGTCAAGACGTCGACCCCTAAAGAGCGCATTGCTCTGCAAGCTGCTATCAAATTCAACGGTGGTGGTCAGTAGATCTTTCGTCGTATCACATTATGTCTGATCTGTTGCTGATCTATTGCGATTTCTTTATCTTATCGGTCTCGTAATTCTTTTCATGTCGGCTATGAACTCGATCATCTTATCTGACTCACTACTGGTGTCTTTCACTGAAATTTTGGTTGAATTTGGATCGTGATTTCGATGGTGGGCGTTTGGCTGTGCAGGACACATCAACCACTCTTTGTTCTGGAAGAACCTTGCTCCTGCTGCTTCTGAGGGAAAAGGCAATGGTGGCGCGCTCAAGGATGGTCCCCTGAAGAAGGCAATTGACGAGGCTTTCGGTAGCCTCGACGCTCTCAAAAAGGAGTTCAACGCGACCACTGCTGCCATTCAAGGTAGTGGCTGGGGCTGGCTCGTGAGTGGCTTATATGCTGTCTATTCACACGATAAAGGGTTGTGTTGACGGATATCCGTATGTTTGTAGGGTTTGAACCCCAAGACTAAGCGCTTGGAGATTACCACAACCGCCAACCAGGACCCGTTGTTGACCCACGTCCCCATCATCGGTGTTGACATCTGGGAGCACGCTTTCTACCTCCAGTACCTCAACGTGAAGGTTGACGTAAGTTTCCTATCCCTGTTTGTAATTTTGTGCTATTCTCAAACTGACATCTTGCGCAGTACTTGAACGCCATCTGGTCCGTTATCAACTTTGATGAGGCCGAGAAGAGGTACACAGACGGTCTTTCGAGCAAGTTGTAATGTGTTGCATCGGAGAAAGCGGGAAAAATGAGTTGGAAGCTTGAAGTTCTCTTGTTGTAATTCGATAAATGATCAGTGCATTTTTGTACTCATGTGCCATTAAGGAAAAAAAATTCTTCTTCTCCATCCGTAGCTCGTCTTGTCCGAACTAAGAGGGACAGGTTCTGGCACCCTCAAATTGTCGAGTGAAACTTTTGAAAATATAAAGAAGCAAGGAGAGGCAAATGAGACAAGTTAGATGGGAGATAGTTTGAGCTTGAGTGGTCGACTTGATGTTAAAACTAACGTCCTCCACTCTCCCTCCCCTCCAGAGTACCCACACCACCAAAGTACTTATCTCTGCGTATGTAGACGCTGGAACGGAACGTGCGATGATTGAGCGAGAACAGTGTTGGAAGTACTATTCGCATTTAGATTTGTGGCTGAAACAATATTTGGTCTGGCCCAGTGTTGCACCTACTTTAAATTTTTTGGGAAGGAGTTAACGTTCACTAAGATCCACTGTCGCAAAAATCCGTTTTTCATGATTTGGCCGAATGCGACCTGATAACGCTGTAAGAAATTTGGATAACATATTAGATACAAAACGCTGCGGACAGGTTCGATCAGATGCCTGTAAGGATAATACGCGTGATGAGTGTGAATACGCTAGCCACGTTGATCGCGCTGACATGGCTGATCGTGCTGACACGGCTGATCGCGCTGAAGTGCCGAAGTACGCTGATCGAGCTCACCAGACTGACCTGTCAATTCAGCCTGAGTGCTGTGATCAAGGATATCCGTCGATTCAGGCAGAGGACGCGGACAACGCTGACCTGGTATCAGTAAGGCTCAACAGTCCTATCGCGCCTGGTTCGGCCTAATACGGAGTTTTTAATATATGCTTTTGTTTGCTTTTTGCCGGTTTTCAATTTTAAAGCTTAGAGTAAAAAGAGACAATAGAAGCCATAGTATTTCGTTGTAAATAGTATCTACTAGTTGTTAAAGTGATATCCCCGAGGTAGATTTGTATATTACTAAGCCATTAGTATCAGTAAATACCGTACACGTTGATTCATGATTCTCATCCCATTCCTCAGATGGGTAGCAAGTTGAGTGATAATGCAAGCATTAATATGGGATGGTCCAGGCATCGGAAGGGGAAATTTTGCTCCTAGTGTTGCAGAAACAGCCAGCGAGACTGACTGCTTGATGGCTGCTATAGCGGAAGACAACATTGAGGCTGATGCCAAAGTCAGAAAGATTATAATACATACCTGAGTAGTGCGGCTCCTAGCCGTGTTCTTTGTTGGCTGCTGGCTTCCTCGTTTAAACATCAGGGTTGATTGGCTCTGCAAGCATATTTGAGTTATCAATAAATGAGTGTGCATCGTGTAGCCTGATGACATACCTTGTAAGTTTGAAGACTCAAAGGCCTGCAACATCAAGTGTTCGTGTTGGTGGTATTCAAAAGGGAGCAAGCATGTGAACGACAGGCGGGAGCCTTGCCCTCCTTATATACAACATGTGGCGCTGGTGGAGCTAGAAACGTCATGATTAGTTAATTATCAAGAGATACTGTATCCTCGCTCACTGGAAGTGGAGCCCAACAATACACTTGGACCCATAATCCAACAACCCATGCCATCATACACAGGAAAGCGACGACGACGTAGTTCCACGCCTTGTATTGAAGAGACGTCGTCGTCAGAAAACAGCTCAAAGTCATCTACTTATAATAATGCTGCTCCCACAGTTCTTGCACATGCTGCCGAAGGTCCCAGTAAACTCGAGCAACACTGGCTGAAAATTCATGGAGACACATATTCAGTAAAGCAGAAGGAAAATAATGCAGGGCTTGTAGCTGCAACAAGTCCCCTGGTCTCACCTCGTACACCTACGCCGCCTCCGCCAACCAAAGACTCTCCAGTGCTGAGATTGGGCTCCACAAGCACGCACACATCTGACGGTGTGATATCATACCATGATGGTGGTGGATTTGGTCAGGGTTGTCCTGTGGATAGAAAAGGGCGTTATAAGTACAATCGGCTTGAACGATACCAGCAAAGTACCCCGAGTTTTTCGACACCCACTAAATCCCGGGTAGATGACACAGCGAGTGCTGATAAACTTCCTACGCCTGGTGTGAACCTGGTCAATTCTTTTAATGCGGCAAACAAAGAGGTAAGAAATTCAATACACAAGAATTATGTTTTGTGACTTACCAGTTTGATTGAAAGAACTCTGTGGTAAATGTTGCCGAGACAACAGGAAAAAGTGATGGAAAAGGCACCGTCCCTTTGAAGCGTCGCATAGGTGATCAAGATACCATTGACAATGAGGTACACATATTGAGATCACAGTAATTTGGGCTCACCGTTGGTACCATTCAGCAGATGGTCAATATTATTCCCCCATTGACTCCTGGGACCGGTCGTGGGGCGCGTCAATTCCTCGTATCACAAATGGAGCTCTCACCGCTTAACCCAGGGAAAAGGAGGAGAGTTGCAAGGTCAGAAGCACCAGACAGTCGAGTCTCTCAAGATTTGGAAGAGACATTGCGGAACATCGAAAAGAATCTTGATGAGGTGGGAAAAGTGTTGAAAGAAGACGTTGGAGGGGCGATCCGCGAGCAGACTGAAGTGCTGAAGGGTGTTCTCCATGAGTTTGTGTCAAAGTAGAGCGGGTACAAATCACTGCTGTATCATTATTGTTGATTGTGTTAGTAAAGACTGTACGAACCTGCCTTTCTCTTTGTCCAACTTGTCTCCCATAGTCTTGGACAGTTTCTTGAACTCGTGTTTGGACTTGGCGTTATCGACACCTCAGTTACAGTTTGAGTCGTCCAGATTTAAGCTTGATTGAAGCTTGATTGAAGCTTGATCGATTGATCATCGATAAGATTACAAAGCCAATCAGTCATTCAAGGTCTGGCCATGATAACATCAATTCGCTAGTATTTGTATCTTATCTAATAACAGAGGCACTATCTATACACATGTGCCTTCACTCCTCGAAGTTATCGCTTCCATCTTCGCTGTTCCCACCCTCGTTGAGTCCCCCAGAGCCTCGTTCAGAATGGCTGTTATGGCCTTCGGGCTGTTCATATCCATCCTCATCATGATTCAATGCAGCCATCACACTTTGCATTAATTGATCCCTGTCTGTGTTGCTCAGTTGGCCTGCGAGTCCATGGCTTGTATTGGGGAAAAGGACTTGATCCCACTCTCGGAATATATTGAGTACACTTTTTTTTTGTTTTTGAAGGCCGCTTAAAAGGTACTCCAGGTAGTTGTCAAAATCATCGTGCCAACGAATGCCAGATTCGTTCCCCTTTTCCTTGAGGCACTCGTCTGGAGATAAGGCCCAACGAGCCTAAATAAATCCCTGTATGTTAGTCAGATTTCTCTATGAGCTCAAGAAGTACTCACAAGGACAGCAGAAGCTGCGACCATGCCAGGCGTTGTATGGTTTAATCCCCATTTTAGATCCATCGTTTCATTGTTTCTTGCAGCACGGGAAGATTCGCCTTCGTTCATTGCAATTACAGATGCAGGCCCTCGTATGATACAGCTCATTGTCTGCTTGGTTGGCTTTTAGTTCTTATTTTTTTTCAGCTGTTATTGACTCACTTTCTGAAGAATTGGATTCAAAAAAACTGTTTGGATGTCGAAGCGTCCCTTGTAGTCACGATGAAGGACACTGACGTTCCATGGATGATACGTCGAGGTACCGTTTGCATTTTCTACCCGCCCAATATCTTCGCTAAACTTTGCACATCGTTTGCGGGATATCCTCAAGTCTTCCTCCGTGCAATTAAAAATGGTGGCACCTCGAGATCAAAGACGAGTAGCTGTGTTTGACCGCTGTTCTTGCATTCCATCACGGAACTGAAAATCAGGTGAGTTTCGAACACTGCTTACAAAATTCTGGACCACTCACTGAACGGCCTAACCAGTGATTCGGAAGGTCACCATGGTATGTGGCAGGAACAATGTCTAAAATATCACGAAGCTGACCTTGCACTTTAGCAGCTGTGCTGCCAAAACGGTCCAGTTTATCATACTCGTCGTCAATGGTTGTTTGAAAAGTCTTGGTAGGCTCATGTAGCCAAAGAGCATGAGTTATCTCAAACTGATGCCCCAGTCCCTTGATTACTTGCTCGTGGTGCGTGTCATCATCTCTTGAGCTCTTGGTTTTTTTTTCCTTCTTTGATCCCCTTTCAACAGACTCATCCTGATGTACCTCATTCATAGCATCGTCGTATTTACGACGCATAGTTTTAGCTTCTTCCTTTGCAGCATTAGCTGCAATTTGAGCGTTACGGGCAGCCTATATACACCATCAGCACATCTTTGTGGACAAGAAACTAACTGTCTCTACCTTATACAGTGATGCCGGTGACATTCGCAGACTGATTTGTGATAAATCACTATCTGATTCCGTGTTACTGATGGGTTTCTGCGCAGAGCTTGGATGCTCGTTACTATCTGGTGAGTCTGATACCTCTGAATCATCTCCACCTCTCTCTCGTTCACTATTGCCCTCCATTTCGGTACTAGACGCCTGTCTGCGTGAAACAACTCTGCTCTTTGCATGGGCTATTCTTCTTCCTGGAGCTTGAGCAGTCTGACGAGCAGCCTTTTGATTGGTAGAGGTCTTCTTCTTCTTGTCTTTGATATGTTTCTGTTTTTTTTCCATCTGCACTGTTTTGGTTGGAGACGAGCAACAGTGTGGAGTATCTGTTACTGACTCTGATTCAATTGTTACGTACACCAGGCTAACCGTGACTTGTAGATAACATCATGATCTATGATTTTCTCAACAACGACGTCTCCATGCTCAACTATACTAGCTAGCTACACTATGTCTCATATTCCTAGGACAACCGAGGCAAAAAAAGGACCATGGTGTAAATATTGTCAACAACACCGAAGCACACAGCGCTTTGACAAGCACATCAAGTCCTGCAAGGTCAGAAATCAGGAACAATTAGAGCTAGCGGCACGACAAGAAAACCATTCAGAGAAACGGTGCTTAGGGAGATCACTCGAGGAGCCAAATCAAAAAAGAAAGAAAACTGTTGAGGTGTTAACGTCTCTCTTTTTCAACTTCTTAAATTTACAGTTCTGTGCATCTTATCAGGCTGACGGAGACCGGACTCAAGTCAATGACGAGGTTGAAGCGGGTCCTCCAATCAGCGGTGCGGGAATATTTCATTTCATTCTGTCTTTCAACTGTGCCTGACAGACTTGAGTCTTGACTTAGCAGAATCTGGTAACGACGAAACCAATGTCCAACAGATATCAAGTGCAACTTTTATTCAAGTTGTCCACCATCCTCAAAGTGGGAAGCATGACCCAGTCATAATTCCCCTTGACAGTGTTATCCCTTCAGCTGATCAAGGCAACAACGAAGCTGGACTTGGCTCTGCATTGGAGATCAAACCGTGGGCGCCCTTTCGCAATCGTGCCGACTTTGAATATGCGGAAACAGCTGTCAAGGGATTATTAAGTAAAGCAATAGTAAACACACAGTTATATGGGATACATCATGGA